GGCCTGAGCACATTGGAGTGTGGGGGGTGAGGGGTGGGGGGTAGACCAAGAGTTTAAGGAGGTTGGATCCCTGAAATGTGGCTACTTGGGGGACAGAAGAAGTCCAGGTTAAATCTGTTGTGTGGGCCTGTTGTCCAGTGCTCAGAAGGTCAGAAGGAGCCTTAGGTAAAGCCTAAGAGGCTTTACCCTTTACTTTAGCCTTTCCCCCAGTGTCCCCCAGCGTCCCCAGCCATGAAAGGGTTGGACAAGGTGGCCTTTCTTGCTCTGACCCAGCTGGTCTGTCACATGACTCTGGCTGAGGAGAAGGGACACAGAGCCCACAGTGTAGCCGACTGGGGCCTCGTCTGCGATTACTCAATCTGGCCAGGACTGTTGCGGCTGGGCGCCAATGCCTGGCATGGCTGCTGTCTGAGAGCGCACGTCTTTGACCCTTAGATGCCCTCCCCACCTTCATGCCCGCTCTGTCCTCCCTGTCAGCTGTCCTGGCTCAGCCTGCCTGGCTGCCCCAGGCCCTGATTCTGTCCAGGGCCTCTGCTTTCCCCGTGACTGGCCCTGAGAGGAGTGGCTGGGCTCTGGGGCCTCATTGGCCAAATGCTGCTGGGTCCACACACGCCCCGTCCTCCCTGGCTGGCTGCCTGCCCACCAAGGGGTTGGGAGGCGGCCTGACCTGGCCTGCCCTATTGTGGCAGACTGCCTTGGAGCCCCAGGAAGGAGTTGGAGTCTGCGAGGTTGTGGTGCTTTTCCCCTCGGCCCATGCTCCAGGGGCTCAGCACTCCCCTCTTTGAGGGAGTTGGGGCCCCAGCACAGTGGGGCTTGTTCCTCTGCCGGCCCCAGGGTGGGAGCCCCGCTCTTCTCAGAGCACAGTATTTCCTGCCTGACAAGTGACAGAGCTCCTTAGCTTCCTTGTTAGAAAGCTCAGCTGGCCATGCCAGAGCCTGCAAGATTAGACCCCAGAATCCTGGAACCAGGGCTGAGGTACCTTGAAGACTGGCAGTCTCTTCTGGCCCCTACCTGGCAAGTGACAGATGAGGCTCAGAGGAGAGGGGACTTGCTCAGGATCACATAGTGCTCCGAGCGGGGCTAGGATTTGAACTCAAGTCTGCCTCTAGACATCCTCTTAGAAATCTTTGATGCGGTCCTACTGGTGCCAGGTACTTCTAAGCATGAGAACTAGAGTAGGAGCTTCTCAAAGGACTGGCCCAATTTTTCTTATAAGCTCAGTGTTTGAGAGGGTCCAATACAGAGGGAGGGACTTCTCTGGTAGTTCAGCTGGTAAAGAATCCACCTGCAATGTGGGAGACTTTCTGGTTTGATTCCTGGACTATATAGTCCATGGAGTTGCAAAGAGTCAGACACGACTGAGTGACTTTCACTTTAATACAGAAGAGGTGCTTGGAGAATGAATGAGTGAGCAAATGAATGAACAGAATGACAAGGCAAAGATCCTGCCTCTAGGCATGTAGACGTCAATGGATGGGACTTCTGTTTCACAGAGCAGGAAATAGGAGGCTGGTAGGAGTGGGGATGACAGAGGATGAGATGGGTGGATGGCATCACCAACTCAAGGGACATAAGTTTGAGTAAGCTCTGGGAGTTGGTGATGGACAGGGAAGCCTGGCGTGCTGCAGTCCATGGGGTCACAGAGAATCAGACATGGCTAAGCGACTGAACTGAACTGATGAGTGGGGACTGGCTAGGTGGGAAGCAGAGAGGATTAGAGCTCAGGTGTCCTGACTGCTGGTCTATGGCTTTTTTGCCATCCTCACTTTCCTCATCTGTAAAATGGGGTAAATGGTCTTCACCCTCTGCTTGCCTTGTGATGATTCAGGGAGGCAGTGGGTAAGAACAGGCTTGAACAGCAGGGACATTGTGTTGGGGTGGGGGGGTCTTCTCTGTGTGCACATCTAGAACTGCCTGGAAACTCCACATACTCTGCTTTTCTTCTTCCCCCTTATTCTCTGCATCTTGCTTCCACCTTGCTTTCTCCAGGACTTCTTTCTGGAATATTTGTCCCAGAACTAGCTGTGGGAGGGGCTTGGGAAGAGTGTCAGTAAACACAGTCTGCCTGCCTCCTCCCTCTACCTTCTCCCACACCTAGAAAGTCAGCCACCCACATCCACATCCAGGCAGCCCCCAGCACATACCAGGCTGGAAATGCCTTGGCAGTGGTTACCATGGTGACGGCTCCTGCTGCTTGGACCACAGTGGTCTGGAAGCTGCTTGCAACAGTCTGGCAGGCTGGTGCCCGCAGGTCCCCACCCAGGCTGCGAGCTCCTGGGGCAGCTGCCCTGTTCTTGCTCATTTTGGTCCTCATCACTGCACTTGGTATCCAGGGGCCTTTGGCAAGGAGCTGCCTCTCCAAGGAACCCACAAGCTGTTCTGGGTCACATTAGCTTAGTTTAAATCCCAGGGCTACCTCTTAGGGGTCAGTGTCCTTAAGCAAGTCAACTTGGTGTGTTTTGAATTTATTGAATTAGCTATGGAATTCTTGTTAGGGGAGCTATCCAAAGAGTATAGTCCCCCAGAATGAGACCCATCCTTTCCCTGAGCCATCACCGCCCCCATCCTGTAGCAGTAGCAGGGTCAACATAGGTCATAGCACGTTTTTGCTGCTGAATCCACATCCAGGGTCCTGGATTCCTCATCTTGGGCCTCTGGAGGCCCTGCAGGCAGTGTAGTGTGGTGAGTAGGACCTCAGTCTCAGTGGCTAGACCTCTGGGATCACAGCTGGGCTTGGTACTTACTTGAGCTTCAGTTTCTTAATTTTTTTTTTTTTACTTTTATTTGCATTTATTTTCTGCGGCATTTATTCCCGGGCCATAAGTTTTTGTTTTTTCAGTTTCTTCTGGGATATCTTTTTCTTCTGTGCAACCTCCTCTTCTGGTTTAGGAACAATCTGTTCTTTTTCAGTAAGGATCATCTCAATGTGGCAGGGAGAGCTCATGTAGGGGTTGATCCGACCGTGAGCTCTGTAAGTCCTGCGCCGCATCTTGGGGGCTTTGTTCACTTGGATGTGCTCAATGACCAGAGAATCTACATCTAAGCCCTTAAGTTCAGCATTACTCTCTGCATTTTTGAGCATATGTAGTAAAAATTCAGCACTCTTTTTGGGCCACCGACCCTGCGTCCAGCCCCACTGTTTGGCCTGTGCACACCCACCAACTCCACCATTGTAACGACGGAATGGCACACATTGCTTCTTTAAAGTGACATCCTTCAGATACTTGGTGGCTTTTCGGATATGCATACCCTTTATGGCCTGGGCAGTCTCACGAGTGTTCTTAAAGTGAACACGAAGATTTGAACCTCTTGATTTGCATGATTTTGTGGGGTTTTCTGGGTCGAGTGAATAGCGCACCATTCTCAAGGGTCAGCTCAGGCCGCTTACCAGAAAAAAAAGCAGTTTCTTAATTTTTAAAATGAATATAATAATGCACCTCTTTCAGAGGTTTGTTGTATGGATAAAATTTGGAAGGCAGCTATGCTCACCACTATACCACCAACGTATGGATAAAATTTGAATTAGGACTTGCAGACTGCTTAGAAGAGTATCTGATACTTCATAAGCACTTTATGAACGTTAGCGGGGACTTATCACCACAACTGGCAATGGCCATGAAAATGAGAGGGCTTCCCATTTGGCGCTGGTGGTAAAGAGCCCTCTTGCCAAAGCAGGAGATGTAAGAGTTGCAGGTTTGATTCCTGGGTTGGGAGGATCCCCTGGAGGAGGGCATGGCAATCCACTCCAGTATTCTTGCCTGGAGAATCCCATGGACGGAGGAGCCTGGTGGTTGCAAGGAGTCAGATACGACTGAAGCGACTTAGCACGCACGCGTGCATGAATATTGGAACCCCTATGCCTATCCGTTCTTGTCATTTTTCTCACACAGGCAGGTGTCCCCAGCTCTGTTCACAGCGTGATGAGGGAAAGCTGGCCAGAGAGACAGGATGGCAGGTCAGTTCCCCTTCCTCATCCCACCCCACCCAGGGGACTATCAGGCACGCCTACCTCTGTTGCCTGGCAAGTGAGACTCACAAGCTGGAGCCTGGGCAGAGACTCCTCCTCTTACTCATGAGTTCTAGGATTTTCTCTGCTGGTTCTCCAGCTGGCAGCTGTTCCAGCCCTGGTCTGGATCAGACAGCTGGTCAGCGACTGCCTGGAGCCCTCCCTGTCAGTAGGGCCAAGTGTTGACAACGGGTGAGCACCAGCCGAGGTGCTGCTTCCGATGTCATCTGAAACATGAAGAGCCCGAGGAAAGGGTCCTAATGGGATGAAATAGGAGCAAATCCCTGGGCTTGACTACTGGAGGGCTCACTGTGCTGTGCTGTGCTTAGTTGTCCAGTTGTGTCAGACTCTTTGTGACCCCATGGACTGTAGCCTGCCAGGCTCCTCTGTCCTCGGGGATGCTCCAGGCAAGAATACTGGAGTGGGTTGCCATGCCCTTCCTCCAGGGGATCTTGCCAACCCAGGGGTCGAACCCAGGTCTCCCATATTGCAGGCGGATTCTTTACCATCTGGGCCACCAGGGAAGCCCAAGAATACTGGAGTGAGTAGCCTATTCTTCCTCCAGGGGATCTTCCCAACCCAAGAATCAAACCAGGGTATCTGCATTGCAGGCGGATTTTTTACCAGCTGAGCTACCAGGAAGCGCATAGGGCTTACTAGGCCTCCCTGAATAGAGACGGAAAATCTTACCAGAACGAGGGTGAATCTGAGGCAAAACTTGAAAAAGCTGGTCTACAGCTGAATTAATACTCTGCTCCATCCCTTTCTCCCCACCCCCCTCCCTCAGGTGCAAGGATATGTTAACATGGAATTTGTGGCCAAAGGAAGCTGGGCATAGTAGGGGCATCCAGAGAGCCCCTGGGGTCTGAGACCCTGGGCTGGAGGGTGCTGGCCACTCTTGGAGTTGGGTTCTCTTGGCAGGTGGTCTTGGGGATCTCAGGGGCTGGCAGACCTGGAGACTCTGCTGTGAGCTGACCGTCCGCCTGCTCCCCAGGGCCTGGCCTCCGTGTTCTCCAACCGCACATCCCGGAAGTCGGCCTCACGCACGGACAGCGACAACATGGCCGACGGCGAGGGCTACCGGAACCCCACGGAGGTGCAGATGAGCCAGCTGGTGCTTCCCTGCCACACCAACCAGCGTGGCGAGCTGAGCGTCGGGCAGTTGCTCAAGTGGATCGACGCCACCGCCTGCCTGTCGGGTGAGGCCGAGCCCGGCATGGCCGCCCCCCCAGCCCTGGCCGCACACACCAGGGGAGAGGCCGTCCGTGAGCGCCGCCCTCTTCTCTACTCCCGGCTTTCACTCAGGCCTCTCCACCTGCCTGTGATGCCCTCTTCAAGTTCCACATGCTCAGCTTGGGCCCACCCTCTTGCCCGCAAACCTCCAGGGCTCTGAGTGCTGGTCCTCGACCCTAGGGTCTTTGCTCTGATGCAGTAGACGTGGCTGCTCCGAGGCTGGCAGTAGCAAAACCCGTGGCATTGAGCAGAGTTGAGTGGAGCTTGGATGGAGCTCATTTTGTATTCTCCAGCCCACAGGGAGTTCACAGTCTGATGGGGTAGGGGGTGGGGGTGGGGGGGCAGGCGGAAGACCTAACTGTCCCCTGCACTGTCTGATAGGGGTTGGGAAAGGGAGGTGGAACTGGGGCTCTAGGAGAACAGACCTGAGGCAACCCTGACCCAGCCCTGGAAGCAGAGAAGGAATTCTAGAAGAACTCAGGCCTGGGAGCAGAGTCCTCAGGATGAGAGGGACTCAGGCAAGCAGACAAAGGTGGGTGAGGCTGCCTGGGCACTTGAGGAGGTCAGGAAGTGGAATGAGCATGGCATGATCATTCATTCAACCGCTGCTTATTGAGTACTGCGTGCCAGGCACTGCTCCAGGACTGGGCGTAGCAGTGAACAAGATGGGCGAAATTCCTTGCCCTCGAGTGACTTGCGGTCTAGCAGAAGGGAGAGGCACTAGACAGACAAAATCCAGATAAGTAAGACAGGGTCAGGGTGTCGTAATCATGGTGAGGAAAGTAAAGAAGAGTGGGGGTGCAGGCGAGGAGGCAGGCCTTAGCTAGGAGGGTCTGGTATTTGATCAGAGGCCTGGGCCACGGGGAGGCTGCTAACGGATGGCTTTCTTCTCCTGATGCCAGCGGAGAGGCATGCAGGGTGCCCCTGTGTCACAGCCTCCATGGATGACATCTATTTTGAGCACACCATTAGGTAAGTGGCCTCCTGCCTCTCTTTCTGGTCTCCCCATCACAAGCCCAGAGCCTTTCCCCCATCTCCCGCCTCATCAGCCCGTGTGCTGCCTGGCACATGCTTCAGCTGAGGGCCTTTGCAGATGGATGGGGGCAGCCTTTCTGGAGCCATGACCCATCTGCAAGGTGTCTGGGACAGCTGTGGGCTAGGAGCTGCCCCTGTGGCCAGGTGCCATGGGGTGGGCTCCCTCAGCCAGCTTTGGACTTGGATGTTGCTCAAGCTGCAGCGTAGGGTGCTGTGTGACTTTGGGAAAGTCAATCTCTTTCTCTGGTCCTCAATTTTCTTATCTTCAAAATGGAAGTTGTTGTTCAGTCACTAAGTCATGTCCAACTCTTTGCAACCCCATGGACTGCAGCATGCCAGGCTTCTCTGTCCTTCACTATCTCCCAGAGTTTGCTCAAATTCATCCATTGAGTTGGTGATGCCATCCAAACATCTCATCCTCTGTCACTCCCTTTCCTCCTTCTCTCAAGCTTTCCCAGCATCAGGATCTTTTCCAATGAGTCAACTCTTCGAATCTGGTGGCCAAATTATTGGAGTTTCAGCATCAGCATCAGTCTTTCCAATGAATATTCAGGGTTGCTGGTTAGACTTAATCAGTGAATGCCTTTTGGGGCTTGGCTCTTCTCTGTGGGTCATTGGTCATTAGACTGTAGGGAGGTCCCTAGACAAGGTGCCTTGGCAGAGCCTGAGCCAGAAGTTTGGACCATTCAACCTCTGCTCACATACCTCCAGGAATGGGGAGCTCTTTACCTACTAGTTTTGTTTGTTTGATGTCTGTACTGTTTAGAAGGGTTTTCATTACACTATTCTGAGCTTGGTCTTTGCACAGTTTTGCTAGGACCCAAGAAGCATGCCGAGCCATCAGCCCAGGGCAGGCTGCAGGGACTGCATGCAGTGCTCTGGCCTCCAGGCCTGCTTCTGAACTATCAGTGCTTGGGACATCAAGTGCCAAGGTCTTATCTAGGACTTCCTGGTGCCCCATGAGTCGTGGTTAAGGAAGAAGTTTGGCCAGTCCCTGTACTTACTTATTCAGTCATTCATCACTTACCTGTGCCTTTTCTGGACCAGGGCCCATGCTGAGTTTGGAGTCCACAAAGTCAACTGGAACGTAGTCTCTGTGCCCCAGGAGCTCCCAGTCTGCAGGGAGGCAGATATAGAAACATAATTTCAATTCAAAGGGGTAAATTCCAGGCAAATAATGATCTTTGACATATGGGTGCTTTGTAGTACTTATTTTTGAATATCTTATTTTAGAATAGTTTTTGATTTACAAAAACACTGTAGACAGTACAGAGTTTCTATAACATCTTACATTCATATGGTACCTTTGTCACAGTTAATGAACCCATGTGCTGTGCATAGTTGCTCAGTTGTGTCCAACTCTGTGTGACCCCATGGACTACAGTCCACCAGGCTTCTTTGTCCATGGGGATTCTCCAGGCAAGAATACTGGAGTGGGTTGCCATGCCAACCTCTGAGGGATCTTCCCAACCCAGGGATCAAACCCAGGTCTCCTGCATTGCAGGCAGATTCTTTACCAGCTAAACTACCAGGGAAGCCCTAATGAACCCATACCGATGAGTTATTTGTAAGCCTTTTTAAAAACATGTAAACAGTTTTTACATGGAGTATGGTTGATTTACAATGTTCTGTTAGTTTCAGGTGTACAGCATTGTAAAGCAATTATACTCCAGTTTAAAAAAAAAGGGGGGGGGGGAGGCCCTACTGTATAACACAAGGAACTATATTCAGTATTTTATAATAACTGTAATGGTTTTTACTATTGATAATTAACTTACTAAGTCCTCAGAACAACACCATGAGATCCTGGCTATTAGTGTCCTCCTTTTACAGGTGAGGAAACTGAGGCACAGAGAAGTAACTTACTTTAGGTCTTACAACTGGTGGAGAACTCAGGATATACTACAAGCAAGGCAGTCTAGCCCCAGACAGCTTGCTCTTAACCAATAGGCTCTGCGTGCATGCATGATCAGTTGCTCCAGTTGTGTCCAACTCTTTGTGACCCTCAGGACTGTTACCCACCTGGCTCCTCTGTCCATGGAGTTTTCCAGGCAAGAATACTGGAGTGGGTTGCCATGCCCTTCTCCAGGGATCTTCCCGACTCAGGGATCAAACCTGTGTCTCCTGTGTCTTCTGCAATTGCAGGTGGATTCTTTTTCCACTGAGGCACCTGGGAAGCCCAACCAATGAGCTACATTGCCTCTGTTTTTGAGGGTGGGTATAAAGGCACTGTGTGGTGTTGAATAAGACTCTTGAGAGTCCCTTGGACAGCAAGGAGATCCAACCAGTCCATCCTAAAGGAAATCAGTCCTGAATATTCACTGGAAGTACTGACATTGAAGCTGAAACTCCAGTACTTTGGACACCTGATATGAAGAACAGACTCATTTGAAAAGACGCTGATGCTGGGAAAGATTGAAGGCGGGAGGAGCAGGGAACAACAGAGGATGAGATGGTTGGATGGGATCACCAACTCAATGGATATGAGTTTGAATAAACTGCGGGAGTTGGTGATGGACAGGGAGGCCTGGTGTGCTGCAGTCCATGGTGTTGTGAAGAGTTGGACACAACTGAGGGACTGAACTGATAGAGGCACTGGAAAAGGAAGTGACAACCCCCTTTAGTATTCTTGCCTGGAGAATCCCTATGGACAGAGAGGCCTGGCGGGTTATAGTCCATGGGGTTGCAAAGAGTTGGACACGACTGAAAGCATGCGTGCATAGTGGCACAGGGGCTTCCCTGGTAGCTCAGCTGGTAAAGAATCTGCCTGCAATGCAGGAGGCCCTGGTTCGATTCCTGGGTCGGGAAGTTCCCCTGAAGAAGGGATAGGCTACCCACTTCAGTATTCTTGCCTGGAGAATTCCATGGATAAGGAGCCTGGTGGGCTACGGTTCATGGGATCACAAAGAGTTGGACAGGACTGAGTGACTGAGCACAGCCATAGTGCCACGGAGGGTAGTCATGGGTGGCTTCCTGGAGGAGGTGTTTGAGCTGGCTCCAGTACTGTATGTAGTGAGAATTTGTAGGCCAGTGGAGCTGTGTCTGGGTCCACTCTGAGTCTCTGCTGCCAAAACAGGATCTGACACCTGAGGAGCAATGATAGAGAAGGCTGGGGTGGGGCATGTAGTGATGGCGGGCCTGCCATAGGACCCAGTAGAGTGGAGGTGAGTCTGGGCAGAGGAGGGTGTGGGTGTGAAGGGAAGCTGGAGAGGGGCCTGGAGCATGGTTGGTGACCTGGAAAGTCCTGGCCACACCTGAGGAAAGCTGGGAAAGGTTTTTTTGTTTTTGCTTTAGCCATTTAAAAATGTCTCAAAATGCATCTCTAAGGAATAAGAACTTTTAAAAAACATAACTTCAACACCACTACTACCTCTAAACAAAATGAACAATTTCTCGCCAACATTAAATATCTAGTCAGTGTTCAGTTGCCCACAGTGTCTCTTGAATTTGTTTTATTTTGTTTTGCTTTACAGTTTTTTGCTTTATTTTGTTCAAGTCATGATGCAAATAAGGTTGCATTTGGTTACTTGGTCTCTTAAGTCTTTTTTCCGCTCTTTGGCCATGCTTCATGGATCATGGGATCCTAGTTCCTTGACCAGGGATGGAACCTGGTCCTCAGCAGTAAAATCACTGAGTCCTAACTACTGGACTGCCAGGGAATTCCCTCAAGTCTTTTTTTAACCTGTAGGCCCTACATCTCCCCCATCACCCTCTCCCCGCACCCTCTCCTTCCTCCTCCCACTCCCCGTCTCTCTCTGTTTTTCCTTGAAGTTTGTTTGTTGAAGAACCTTGGTCATTGCTCTCTAAGGTTCTCCATCATCTGGGTTTTACTGTTAGCATCACTGTGGTGTCATTTAACATGTTCCTCTGTCTTTCAGGAGTATTGGTCCTGGGGAAGGGCTCTATTACAACTGGCTGAAAAGGTCAGATTTGTCTATAGGCACTGCCTCTGGATGGGTTTTGGGAAACTAGGGGCTTGAAGGGGCCCCCGAGGAGGCTGGGCAGTGTCTCTGAGGATGGAGCCAATTTTGACCTTAGCTGGAAGACAGTCAGGAAGGAAGAGAAGCTTGAGAGTCCAAATGGGTGACTGCTTGGCTTTAGGGGAGGCTAGAGAGGAAGAGGAGAGGGGAGGAGGAGGAAGAGGAAGGGTCATATTTTAGCACTGCAAAAAATAGATTTTTTTTTTTATTGGTGGGTCAGGGAAGTTCTTTTTCTAATATTTTTATCATGAAAACTTTCAAAATTATAGAAAAGTTGAATAGTGGTGTGATCATTACCACTGAGAGTCAATAATTAACACTTTGCTAACTTTGCTTTATCTGTCTGTGGATAAATACAAGCATTCAGTTTAGTTCAGTTCCTCAGTCGTGTCCAACTTTTTGCGACCCCATGAACCGCAGCACGCCAGGCCTCCCTGTCCATCACCAACTGCTGGAGTCCACCCAAACCCATGTTCATTGAGTCGGTGATGCCATCCAACCATCTCATCCTCTGTCGTCCTCTTCTCCTGCTCTCAATCTTTTCCAGCATCAGGGTCTTTTCAAATGAGTCATCTCTTCGCATCAGGTGGCCACAGTATTGGAGTTTCAGCTTTAACATCAGTCCTACCAATAAACACCCAGGACTGATCTCCTTTACGATGGACTGGTTGGATCTCCTTGCAGTCCAAAGGACTCTCGAGTCTTCTCCAACACCACAGTTCAAAAGCATCAATTCTTCGGCGCTCAGCTTTCTTTATAGTCCAACTCTCACATGCATACATGACCACTGGAAAAACCATAGCCTTGACTAGACAGACCTTTGTTGACAAAGTAATGTCTCTACTTTTTAATATGCTGTCTATGTTGGTCATAACTTTCCTTCCAAGGAGTAAGCATCTTTTAATTTCATGACTGCAATTGTTGCACTTTGCAGATATTGCATTTTTTTACAACTTGAAATTTTGTAGCAACCCTACATTGAGCAAGTCTATTGACCACATTTTTCCAACAATGTTGGCTCATTTAGTGTCTCTGTGTCACATTTTAGTAATTCTTGCAATATTTTAAACTTTTTCATTATTATTATATTTTTTATGGTGATCTGTATTAGGAGGGTAAAACTTTGGGGGCTACAAGAAGGTGGAGGATGGGGGAGCTTTCCTTAGGAGGGACTGTTGAGTTGAGAGCAAAGAGAATCTTGAGCGTTCATTGGACTAGGGGGAGCAGGGGAAAGGGGGAGATGAATGACATCTTGCCACTCCTCTTGCCTCAGCTTCCCCACCTGTAAAATGGGGTGCTAACCCTGTCTTGCCAACTTGCTTTGGTAGCATCATAGATGTGAATATGCTCTGTATGCCATAACGTTCTTTGGTCAGTTCCCCTCGGCAGAGGCCCCACAAGTATCTGAGGCCCCTGTTCTCTCCATCTGTCCCTCTGGATGGCTCAATATCTTGCTTTTCCCTCCTCAGTGTTGGACAAGTGGTGAATATCAAGGCCAAGGTGAACCGGGCCTTCAACTCCAGCATGGAGGTGAGCCACTGGGTGGGTGGTTTCCACTTTCTCTTTGTTCTCAGCCCCTAGCCTGGGAGCACTCATGCTCACACTCACAGTGCCCTGGCTGAGGATACAGAGTTCTGAAATAGCTGACAAGTTTGGGAGGATCCTAGGGATCTAACTGTCCAATGGCCATAATACAGAAGGGGAAACTGAGGCCAGGGAGGGGAAGGGACGTGCCTCAGGCTGCCAAGCGATGTGGATTCCACTGTGGGCCTTGGCTTCCAGCTTCCTGGGTCTTCATACCTAATGTCAGACCCTCTGTTCAGCAGCCAGGTGAAGGCAGGGAGGACAGCCACTGTGCTTAGCCCTGATGTCAGTGGGCTGAAGCAGTAAGAGCGCTAGACTTTGGTCCATTAGCTTACCTCCCACAGCCTCTGTCTTCACATCTGTAAAATGGGAACATGATTCCTATGCTGCAGGATTGTGGAAGGTTTAATGAGAGGACTCTTTGGTGAGGCACAGGGCTCTGTGAGCTCTGGTGGAAGGCCTCTATTTCCCACTTATGGATGTCAGGCCCAGGCAATTTTACCCAGCTGGGCCAGTGGTTACTGAGGCACCACCAAGGCTTGGATAGCAGAATCTTGACTGTAGCTCTGGACACCCCATAAGTGCTCAAGGTCTCCCTATGGACCCCCAACCTGTCTGTCCTTCCAATTTAGCCAACACTTATATTAACTTACTTCAAGCCCTTTCGTAACACAGTCTCCTTTTGATCCTCTCAATAACCCTGTGAGGGTAGGTACAATCATCCCCATTTTACAGATGAGGAAACTGAGGCCCAGAGAAAGGAACTGACATGCCCAAGGTTCCCCAGGGAGCCAGGGCCAGCATCAGGGCCTATCCCAGGTCTCTAGTCCCCTGGACTTGGTGATACAGAAATACCAGAGGCCAGGCCTGGTGACGCGTCCCATCTCAAGCTGTAGGATTCTCATTCCTCCCTCCTCACTTGTCCACCTTGCTCTTCCTTTCCAGGTGGGCATCCAGGTCGCCTCTGAGGACCTGTGCTCTGAGAAGCAGTGGTGTGTGTGCAAGGCCTTAGCCACCTTTGTGGCCCACAGGGAGCTCTCCAAGGTAGGTGGCTATACCTGACCGCTCTGTGCTGCCAGGCCACCTGGGTGCCTTTCCAGGGCGGTGATTCTGGGGGGTTGGTGGAGTGGTAGAGATGGGGGCGCAGCAGGGAATCCACAGCTTCCAGAAGAAGGCCCATCCCCCACTGCGGTTGAACCCCAAATACCTTCCTGCTCTGCTTTTCCCCTGCTCTCCCCGTGCACCTCACTCTAGGATTCTCCAGGTCTTTCCATTGCCTTCCATGCCTGCTTGAACATTTCTCATGCCCAAGTATTGGGGGCCGGGGGGACACTGGAGGATGAAAGTGATGTGTCAGTCAACATGGAGATGGAAGATGGGGCAAAGAGGGGACAAGACTTGTGACCATCCAGGAGCCCCAGGTGTGAGATGATTACTAGGGGGGCAGTTGTTGTTCAGTCACTAAGTCATGTCCAACTCTTTGTGACCCCATGAACCGTAGCACGCCAGGCTCCGCTGTCCTTCACTGTCTCCCGGAGTTTGCTCAGATTCACATCCATTGAGTCGATGATGCTGTCCAACCATCTCATCCTCTACCGTCCTCTTCTCCTCCTGCCCTCAATCTTTGCCAGCATCAGGGTCTTTTCCAATGAGTCGGCTCTTTGCATCAGGTGGCCAAAGTATTGGAGCTTCAGCTTCAGCATCAGTCCTTCCAATGAATATTCAGGGTTGATTTCTTCTAGGATCGACTGGTTTGATCTCCTTGCAATCCTGGGGGGACAGGCCCTCATGCTATTTCAGGGAATTTGTCCTGAAACCCCCCACTCCACCCCCGCCACAGGTGAAGCTGAAGCCAACCCTGCCACGGACCGAAGAGGAGAAGACGGAGCACAGCGTGGCGGCCGAGCGCCGACGCATGCGGCTGGTCTACGCCGACACCATCAAGGACCTCCTCGCCAACTGCGTCATTCAGGACGGTGAGCATCATGGGTGGGGAGGGCAGCTCGTGTGCTACGTGCTCCCCTCTGTCTGGGGGAGAGAGAGGAAGGAAGTCTCCCTGGGGTATCCCCCCAATGATGGCCTCAGGCCTGGATAACCCTCTTGCCTCAAGGCCCCTTAGGGGAACAGGTAGCATTTGGACCTCTCACCCAGCTCCCAGGGGCTGTGAAGATGAAGCTGGGACACATGGAAAACACTTTTGTCATCCACTAATGCATTTGGGTCTCTAGGAGTCAAGGTATTTGGGAAGGTAGTATTGAGCTTGGCCTTGAGGACCCTAAGACTTTAAAAAAGAAAAGCATATATTGGGTTGGCCAAGAAGTTCATTTAGGTTTTTCTGTAAGATGTTCATTCTTTGGGCCAACTCAGGAGACAGGTAGCTAGATAGGTAGATAGATTGAGATAGCTCTAGGGATAAAAAAAGATAGATAGAATAAAAAGCAAGACTCACTTCTACTTGCTTCTGCCCCTCCAAAAAGGCAGCTCCTATTACTCGTTTGGGGGCATCTTTCCAGAAGTATTCCCTGCATATTTATGCATAAAAAACAGTGAAAGTGTTGGTCACTCAGTTGTGTCTGACTCTTTGCAACCCCATGGACTGTAGCCCACCAGGCTCCTCTGTCCATGAAATTCTCCAGACAAGAAGACTGGAGTGGGTAGCCATTCCCTTCTCCAGGGGATCTTCCTGACCCAGGGATCAAACCTGGGTCTCCTGCATTGCAGGCAGATTCTTTACTGTCTGAGCCACCCAGGAAGCCATATTAATGCATACTACCTATCATTTCAACCCTCCCTTTTTACCCCATAGGGGAATGGTACCTACTGTCCTATATCTTGCTCCTTTCCCCTTAAAAGCATAGCCTGCAGATTGTCCTATACCAGCACACAAGATCTACTTTGGACTGGGAGGATTTTGACAGGTGGAGAGATGAAGCAAGGTTTTTCTGAGAGAGGACACAGGCTGAGGGCAAAGGTCTAGAGGGGTGACCTTGGTTTTATTCTCTGATCTCCAGAAAATGAGAATGCAGAGTCTTCCTGGAATCCTAAAGGAGGCAGTTTTCCTGGCATCAAGGATAGTTCAGCCGCCCAGAGTGGAGAGAGAGCAGGCAGTAGTAGCGAACCCCAGTGAAGGCAGTGAGCTATGCTCTAGATTCCATATGCCCTATTTATGCGGGGCCTGGAGGTCATGGCAGGCCCAGCTCTTCCTATAGTTGTTAAGGCCCCTGGCAGCATCCATCCCACTGCAGCCCCTGTGGATCCCTCTTGTTGTGACAGTCCTTCTACCCAAGGGTCAGTCTAGATGCCTTAGCCTGGCGTCTGGGCCCTTATCTGAGCCTTATGTTAGGCTGTCCCTTTAGTTGTCCTCAGCTGCAGGTAAGCCAGAGTCTTGTTACTCCCTATGACTGTCCTGCCTGTCTGGTTTCCAAACCTTGGCTCAGGGCTTCAACTGCTCTGCTCCCTGCCTGTGGCATCACTGAGTACCTGCACACCAAGTGAAAGACCTCCTCTTTTACAGGCCTCCCCCACTGAGCTCTCTCCCCTTGGGAGATACGTGGCACCTCCTTGGTGCTGAGTGAATAAGAGAAGTTGTATGGAGCCGGGGGGTATCCTGGGCTGCCCATGGCAGGGTCTGCCCTCGGGAATCTTCTCACCTCCCTCGCTCTATCCCTCCTTGGTCAGATCTGGAGAGCAGAGACTGTAGTCACATGGTGCCGGCCGAGAAGACGCGGGTAGAGAGTGTGGAGCTGGTCCTGCCCCCCCACGCCAATCACCAGGGCAATACTTTTGGGGGCCAGATCATGGCCTGGATGGAGAACGTGGCCACCATTGCAGCCAGGTGCCTCCTCTTTCTTCCCCTCCTTCCCTTGGCCAGCTCCCTCTGGGGCAGAAACCCTGACTTGCATTGTGCTGGCATTGTGCTTGCAATCAAGTCTTCAGAAGCTTGACTGTTCTTATAGGGTAAGCTGGGGCCTTCAGACCCAGGGAACCAGAGAAGAATGATTTTCTGTGAGCTCGCCAGGGGAAATGTCAAGCCCTCAGCTGGCACCAGGGCCTCCCCTTGCCCTGGCTCTGCCCACTCACTTCCTGGATTTTATACTCTTTGCAAAGCAAGCCATTTGCCCTTCTCCTTCCCACCCACCCCACCATGCTCCCAGCTCTTGTCTCCCCTCCTGTATGACCTTCCACCTTGTAGCCCCACTATTCTTCGCTAAAATCCTGTCTATCCTCTAAGAAGCCTCTTTAACTGTCCCCTTCTCCTTAAAGGTGGAAAGAATTCCTTCCCTCTCCTATAACCTCTGTACCTGTCTGGGACTTATTCTGCTCCAAGTATTGGAGCATATTTTTATAGTTATGACGACTGACATTTATTAACTAACACTGTCATACCGCCACGACTTTGTAGTTGCTATTCCCTCTGATAGGAGTGCCTTCCCTAACCCTTATCCTCCTCAGCCAGGCGAATTCTTCCACCCTTTGGAGCCCAGCTCCAGTGGCCCTTCCTGTGTTTACCCTGTGGACATAGTGCATAAGCAATGCCATTTTGGGCAGCCTAGACTATGAGCGCAGTAAGATCTCAGAGGAGGGTCAGAGTGTGGATAGTCAGGGAGGGCTTCCTAGGGGAGGAGTATGTCAGCTGGGCCTTGAATGACAAGTATTTTTGGGTAAGAGGAGGGATTCCAGATAGTAGGAACAGCAGGTGCTAGGATATAAACATTGAATGGAAAAGGTTTATTGCAAGCCCTGCTGTTTGTCACCTCAAATTCAGCTTTTTTCCAGCTATACTCGGACCTCAGTATTCTAAGCTGTGGGATGGGACTTTAGTTCTCTTCCTCTGAGTAGAGCTGTCACTGGGTTGGGTGGGAGTGGGTGGGCCAGAGGGTGGTGCATGTGTCTCTGGGCAGGGTCTGGGGATGGGGGCAGGGAGAGAAGCCTGGCTTGCCCAAGCCAGTGGCTGAAGCACTGGAGGGTGCTTTGTCCTATCCCCTGACCCCCGGCTTCCTCCAGCCGACTCTGCCGTGCCCACCCTACCCTGAAGGCCATTGAGATGTTCCACTTCCGGGGCCCATCCCAGGTTGGGGACCGTCTGGTGCTCAAGGCCATCGTGAACAACGCCTTCAAGCACAGGTGAGGGGCTGGAATGGATGAGATGGGGCCCCTGGGACTGAGGGCTCCTCCTGATCTGAGAAGGGACATTACCTCAAAGTGTCAGGAGCTGTTTCCCCTGTAGACGAGGTCTATGGGGTCTGAACTCTGGCTGCTGGGTCCCTGCACCATCACTAGGATTCACTCTGATGTTCCTTCTCAGGGCTCCCCATCTTGGGTCACACCACGTGCCCTATGTCTTGGTCTCTCTCCCTGGCTCCTGCCTCTGAGCCTGCTACACTGTGGATGCTTCGGTCACGGGGCGCCTCTTGCCAGTGTTCTGTTGTTTATCGAACCCTTCCCCACCCTTTTCCTAAAACCGCAAATAGTTCCCAGAACCCTTATCTTTGTAATGGATTCTGATACCCCCACGAAAGCTTACTTAAAGTATGCATCTCTTTTGATGATTTCAGAGATGTGATTTTCAGTAATATGTAGTCATTAACAGTGAGGGGTCAGGAGCCAGGCTGCCTGGGTTCAAATTTGGCTTACCTCTTAGCATCTGTGTGACTTTGGGCAAGTTACTTAACCCTCTGAGCCTCAGTTCTTTCACCTTAGAGAACCGGGGCTCACCACAGCTACCTCATAATTGTGAGGATTCAATGAGAAGTTACTGTTTAATAGTATAATGACAGAGAGAACGTTCACTGAAGGTCAGCCATTGCTGCTGCTAATATTTTTATTATTATTATCATCATTATCATTTTACTATTCCATCTGATAAGCACACATTCTGCTGTTGTGCAGAGCAAAAAGTCCTGAACTAGGATCTGTGAGGCCTGGTTTCTAGTGTAGATTCTCTTCCTGACTGTTGTGTGACCTTGGGCAAGTTAGTGCCCTGTTCTAGGCATTGATTTCCCCATCTGCATGAAGTCTGCATTCCTAAGTGAGGGGAATGGAGGCGGCTGCTATTATATAATTCATCAGACAGTTGGAAATACAGAGACGGCTGCAACTGAGCTGTCGGGAGCACGGCTGTTAGAGCACTGGTGAATATGTTTATAATGAGCATTTTCTCTGATTAGGCCCTGCCCCTCCACCTCCTTTCTTATGTCTTTCCATAACCCTTTATTTTTACATAAACATATTTTATATAGACATTTGTTTCCCCACCCCCTCGCTGTTAGCGCATGAGAACCTGGACTGCACAGGTTTATTCATTCCTGTGACCCCCAGAGATGAGCATGGGCCAGGGGTGCAGCAGGTGCTGTGTAAACATTGTTGAAAGGGAACGCATCTGAGTTTCCCTCCCAGCGGTCTCTGATCCAGGCTGTGGGAGGAACGGCAGGAGTACGTGTGTGTTTGTGTTCGCGTGCACACATGTGTGTTGGGGAGGGGTGGCCTCGGCAAGGTCTGTCCAGCTGACAGCATCCCTCCCTCCCCCTCAGCATGGAGGTGGGCGTGTGCGTGGAGGCCTACCGCCAGGAGGCCGAGACCCATCGGCGGCACATCAACAGCGCCTTCATGACCTTCGTGGTCCTGGGGGCAGATGACCAGCCTCAGATGCTGCCCTGGATTCGGCCCCAGCCTGGGGTGAGTGCCCTGCTAGCAGCCCCCTTCCCCCTCTGCCCAGGGGTGGCAGGACTGGGGAGCACGGACCCAGCTCTTTCCTTCTGCTGGGGCACAGCTTGGCCTTGAGTGCCCTGCTGTGACCCCCAGGGGTGCCCCTTGTGCTTTTTGGAAGAACTTGAACCATGTGTGTGGGCCTCCCTCGTTGCTGGGTGCTAACCGGCACTCCTGAGCCTGCAGAGCCATAAAAGCACTGGCTTTGGGCTCAGAGGTGGGTTGGACCCTGCCTTGGCCATGTTCTGATGGGTGTCCTCTTTGAGCTTCAGTCCCATCTTTAAAGAGGGCATATCTGCAGTTCCTGCCTTATAGGACTGTTGGGGAGACACTGATCCTATGAGTAACTGAGTGACTGAGTAAGTGGCAGCTGCTCTGACCGTGGTGACAGGGGAGCAAAAAGGGTAGGGATGAGAGTCAGGGACCAGGGGTCCCGGCTGGCCCTAAAAAGTGTTCCCTTGTGCCTCCTGAAGGCCAGGCTCGGGCTTGCTTCCAGGGGCCAGGGAGTGACCTTGGTGAGGTTGCCTCTTCTCTCCCAGAAGGTCCCCTGCCCTGCCTCGCCTCACAAGGCTGAGCATGGACTGTGAAACCTCTGCTCTAGAGCCCGGCATTGGGCAGTCAAGACGGGTGGTGGGCAAAGGAGTGGGGAGCCTGAAGCGAGTGGGACAGGAGACAGTCTGTGGTGTCCTTTCAGGTCTTTGCCAATTAATGTCCATGAGCAAGGAGACATTAGAGGTACTGGTTCAGAGGTGGGCCCCGGGCTAGGCCATCTGGATTCTGTTCCTGGCCACACTCCTTAGCCCTGTGACCTTGGGTGAGCCACTTAGCCTTTCTGTGCCTCAGTTTCCTCCTCTGTAAAATGGGGATATTACTGGGAGATCCCTGATGGCCTTGTGTTTAGAATCCAAGGATTTCATTGCCATGCTGTTGCTCAGTTGCTGAGGCATGTCTGACTCTTTGTGACCCCATGGACTGTAGCACGCCAGGCTTCCCTGTCCTCCACTATCTCCTGGAGTTTGCTCAGGGTCATGTCCATTGAGTTGGAAGTGCCATCTAACCATCTATCCTCTGGCACCCTCTTCTTCTTTTACCTTAAGTCTTTCCCAGCATCAGGGTCTTTTCCAGTGAGTCGACTCTTCACATCAGGTAGCCAAAGTATTGCCATGACCCAGGTTCAATCCCTGGTGGGGGAACTGAGTAGCTGCAAGCTGCATGGTGCAGCCAAAATAAAATAAAATGGGTGTAGTACTAGTGCCAAACACAGAGGGTTCTCATAAGACTTAGGTGAAGTTTTGTGTGGAAACCACTTTAGAAGCATGCCTGCCCACCGCAAGGTTTAGTGAGGGCAGGTGGTGTTCCCAAAGTCACTCGGGTGTGAGGGGAGCTGGGGCTGGAACTCAGTGGCCGGGCACTGCGCTGTCCAGGCTGCCCCTCTGCATCTGAAGTCCGCTTCAGGACTGCCCGGAGGGTCTCCTTGGGCCCTTTGGGGAAGGAGGGCAAGCGGTAATGGGGGCTGGGTGAGCTGGTTGTCCTGCCCCCACCACAATCTGTCTGGGCTCCTCTCCCCAGGATGGCGAGCGGCGGTACCGAGAAGCCAGTGCCAGGAAGAAGATCCGCCTGGACAGGCAAGTGGAGGCCTGTGGGTGGTGGGATGGGACACGGCGTCAGTTCTGTCTCAGCTCCCTGTCTGCTCCCTGCCTCTGGGAACTTGCCTGTCTTTGGAGCTGCCCCTGGGCTGGGTCTTTACATCTGGGCAGTCTCTGGTCTTGGCCTCATGACACAGCAGTCTTACTGGCCCCTTGTACAGGTGAGGATGCTGGGGACAGAGGGATTAGGTGTCCACGGGCACACGGATAGGAATGATTGGCAGAATGAGAATTTGAACCTGGGCAGGTGTGGCCAATTTTACATCTTGTGTCCCTCCCATTGATTCCGATGATGCCCATTTTGGAGATGAAGAAAGAAAGGCTCTGAGAGGAGGTGAGCAATTGCTTGTGACGCAAATCCAGGTGTGAATGATTGCTACCAAAGCACTTTACATGCCGAAAAGTGCTGTAAATGCAACAGGGTTTACCATCTAATATTAATAATAAAAATGTGCATTTAGGGAGGGGTTTGGCAACCCACTTCAGTATTCTTGCCTGGAGAATCTCATGGACAGAGGAACCTGGTGGGCTACAGTCCATAGGGTTGCAAAGAGTCAGACATGACTGAGCGAATAACACACCATATGCCAAATGCGGTTCTCCTCCTGATGATCCCATGAGGGGTCAGGTGTGACTACTGATCCCATTTTACAGGTGAAGGCACTGAGCATAAGGGTGAAGTCACTCGGCAAGGGTTAGGGGTCTACACCTTTCCCTGGGAGTCCCCACCTCTGAGTGTGCGTGTCCTCAGCTGCTGCCTTCTGTGTGCCCACCCAGTCTCCCTGGCCACATAGGGGTGCCTCCCACCCTGCTGGGCTGAGCAGAGTAAGCACAGTAAGCTTGGCACACAGTGAGCCTGCCGAGAAGAGGTGGGCCCCAGAGGGACCAAGGTTGTCGTCTTCCCTCTCTCCCAGGAAGTACATCGTGTCCTGTAAGCAGGCGGAGATGCCCCTGTCTGTCCCCTGGGATCCTAGCAACCAGGTAAGGCCCTCTGCTCTGTGCGGGCAGTCCTCAGGCCTGTCGGGGACCCCCAATCCCCCCTTCTTGCAGGAGGCCCAGAGGGGACAGGGTACTCTGCCTCAGGACTGGCTCAGTGAGCCAAGGGCTCTCCTGTGTCCCCCTGCTTGGCAGGAGAGAGCTGAGGCCCCAAGGGGAGGAGGGGTCTGGCCCAGCCCGGCCTCTCTCCCCAAAGCCCAGGGCTCCTCCCTTCACGTGCGGCTTCCTCCCCACGCGTCGGCGTGGGCTGGCACGGAGCCCCGAGGACGGGGGTGGTGAGGCTGCCGCGTGTCCGCGCAGGTGTGCCTGAGCTACAACAACGTCTCCTCCCTGAAGATGCTCGTGGCCAAGGACGACTGGGTGCTGTCCTCGGAGAGCAGCCAGGTAGCGGGCCCCACCCTCCCAGCTCTCCTTCCTCCTCTGAGCAGCCAGAGGTGTTGACTGTGAGCTGCGAGACCCTCTCGAACCACTCAAGTCAGAGGGGGATTCCCTAAGAGGCCCTGGGTGAGTCCTGAAACCAACCCACCTCTAGAAGCCCACCTGTCCCCTCGAGGCTGGCGTGGCTCGGATGGGGGCTGGGGGCAGGGGTGGGCTGAGGGTGGGCTGAGCTCTGCCGCTTCTGCCTGAGTCCTGGGATGGGCCACCTCCCCACAGTGACACCAGTGGCTGGCTGGACGCCTGGCTCTCAGGATCCATTCTGGTTCCGCATTAGTTACTGCTGCTTTATCTTTTTCTTTCTGAAAGAGAATTTTCAACATTTAAAAAATTGAGGTATAATTTACATACAGTAAAACTTCCCCTTTTTAGTGTATAATCCTGCTAGTTTGGAAAACATATAAAGTTGTATCATCACTACAGTAATCAAGATACAGAACATTTCCATAATACCCTAATTTTTCTGTCTCCTTTGTGATCAAGCTTCTTCCCATCCCAATCCCTGGAAACCACAAACCAGTTTACTATGCCTTTCATTTGGTTTATTTGAGAATGTCCAGTAAAGGGAGTCATACAGTATGTAACCTTTGACGAATTTCCTTAGGCACAGTGCATTCACTTGTGTGAAGTGATGTGTATGTTCCGTTTCACATCGAGTACCATTCCATCTGAATAGTGTTTATCCATGCAGTCCCTGCTTCTTCAGACTATCCACTTTGCACTGAATCTCCCATTTTTCATGGGAGATTCTGCCACCGAGGCTCAGAGAGATTGAGTCACTTGTTCACAGACACACAGCAATCAGTGAGGCCCTGACTTCCAGCCCGGGTCCCCAGCATAGTCTGAGGAGGAGACGAGGGAACGAGGCTGCCCTCTGTCCCATGCAGGTCCGCCTGTACACTCTAGAGGAGGAAAAGTTCCTCTCCTTCCACATGGAGATGCTGGTGCACGTGGACACAGTCCAGGCCTTCCTGCTGCTCTCTGATCTCCGCCGGAGGCCCGAGTGGGACAAGCACTGCCGGTGAGGGTGGGGGTCCCGGGGGGTGGGGAAGGGGGCCCTGAGATTTCTCCTCCTGCTGAGCCATCCCCCACTGCTCTGGGCCCCTTGCTGGCTTTTATCTAAGGGTGGGTTATGGGAGGGGAGGTGCTATGGTTAACTGTTAGGTGAGTATCTGAGTTATGGGTATTCCAAGCCCTCAGGGAAGGGACTGAGGCTGGAATTGGAGGTGGGGGCCTGGCCCAACTAACTATGTGACCATGGGCCAGTCATGTCCTTTCTGGGCCTCAGTTTCCCCCCTCTTAAATTGGGTATTTGAGGTGTGGGTGTGTATTTGCATAGGGGTAGATCAGTGATTTTCAAACTGAGTTCTGCCTTCTGAGAGGGGGCTTGGGGACTGCTTAGAGAGGTGGTTGGGAAGTGGAGGGGTGGGTGGGAACTCCTTCCAGACTCAGGGTAACTCAGAGAATGTCCAGTTTGCTCAATTTACCAAGTTTGCCAGTTCTTCATATGGCTATGTGAAGGGAAAGGTGGCAGGTTTGGACAGGATTTTGTCTCTGCGAGGATGTCCTTGTGAGTGTGTGTTGGTATAAGCCTGGGTGTGTCTACCTGGGCACATGTGTGTAGTGTACCCGTGTCTGAGGGCACAGCTCTGGCACCCAGCCTATGCACATCCCAGACCTGCTTCCTTATTAGCTCTGTGGCTGTGGGTGAGTTATTTCTCTGAGTCCCAGCCCCTTCATCTATTAAATGGGGATACTCAGAGTCCAACTGCATGGGCTGATGTGGCATTAAATGAGATAATACCCATAAGCTGTTAGAACAGTGCCTGGCACACGGTGGGCACTCACTGAATACTCAGTACAGCTACTAAATCATCACATGTCTGTGTATATGCATTTGCACACACACAGACATCTGTAGTTCTGTATGTATATCAGTGGGTGTCCATGTGTTTGTGCACGTGTGCCCACAGGTGGGGTTTATCTGCTTGTGTACGAGTCTGTGAGCCCAGCTGTGTATGTCCACTTTGGCCAGGCTTTTCTGCCCTCCTTTGGTCCCTGTTGAGCAGTCTGGGGGTGATTATGTCTCCCAAGCATGTGCTCAGGATGGCTGAAGCGTGTGTGGGGGGTGCAGCTGGGTCAACCCTGCTGTCATACGTGGCGCCTCTGTGACCGCTGTGGACTCTGCACAGGAGCGTGGAGCTAGTGCAGCAGGTGGATGAGGATGATGCCATCTACCATGTCATCAGCCCCGCCCTCGGTGGTGACCCCAAGCCCCAGGACTTCATCATCCTGGCCTCTCGACGGAAGCCTTGTGACATCGGGTGCGTGCCTGCCTGCTGGGGTGGGAGATGGGCAGGTTCATCTTCCTCCCCAGGGAGGGAACATCTGTGTAGAGTCAGCCCTCTTTCCTATGGCCTCAGGACCTCAGTGTAAAATCGGTGGCCATGGTCTTACTGGGGGTAGAATGGAGAACAAGAGGACACACTGCCCTTTCCAGTCACTCATGCTCTAAAGGAGGGTGGTCTCTATCCCTGGCGTAGTGAGGGTGCCGTGCCCCAGGTCACAGACAGGCCAACTCTCACATGGCCCACTCCTTGGCCTCCAGCCTTTCAAAGCCCCATGTTGCCTGAAGGGTGGTAAGGCTCCCAGCTGCGCCATGGTGAGGATGCTGGAGAAATGGCCTCACTTATGCTAGTTAGTTAAGTTGCTCAGTCGTGTCCAACTCTCTGCGACCCCGTGGACTGTAGCCCACCAGGCTCCTCCATCCATGGGATTCTCCAGGCAAGAATACTGGAGTGGGTTGCCATTTCCTTCTCTAAGGGATCTTCCCAATCCAGGGATCAAACCCATGTCTCCCACATTGCAGGCAGATGCTTTAACCTCTGAGCCACCAGGGAAGCCCTAGCATATCACTTATGCTAGAGACAGTCAAAAAGATGAAGCACGAAAATCCAAAGTGCAGCACTGCTTCCCTGGGGCGGGGAGGGGGAGGCCAGGAATGTTTCCAGAAGGTCCACAGTGCAGTCACCCTGGTACCTGGTGAGTTCAGAACTGTTCACCCACAGGCACCTCCTGTCTAGAACCTCCTTTCCAGCTTGACCTGGAGCCAGGCTGCTGGCCTTAGACTCTGGTGAGGGCATCACTGCAGCGGGGCCCTGGTCAGTGCTGGAGGGGGTTTCTGGAAGCTGGCCCTCACCCTCTCCTGTGCTCCTGCACACTTCTTCCATACAGGGAACCCTATGTCATTGCACTGAGGTCAGTTACGCTGCCCACGCACCGCGAAACCCCAGAGTACCGGCGTGGGGAGACTGTCTGCTCAGGCTTCTGCTTCTGGCGCGAGGGGGACCAGTTAACCAAGGTGAGGCCTAGTGTCTCCTTTCCCTTCCCACCCGGATTCACCCCAAAGCCACACTTGTGTCCAGACCTCAGCACTCCCACTGGCCAGTAAGCTCTCCCAGCTATAGAGAGCCTAAGAGTGTCAGGGCCTAGAAAGGAGCCTTCAATAAGACCTAATCTGTGCAAAGACAAGTCCAAGGCCACAGTTGAACCAGGCCTGTGTGTTAGTTGCTCACTTGTGAATGACTTTCTGCAATCCCATGGACTGTACCTGGCCAGGCTCCTCTGTCTGTGGGATTCTCCAGGCAAGAATAGTGGATTGCCATTCCCTTCTCCAGAGGATCTTCCCAACCCAGGGGTCGAACCCTGGTCTCCTGCATTGTGGGCAGATTCTTTACTATTTGAGCTACAGGAAAGTCTCTAAAACTCCGTCTTCTTACTTATGTACCCCTTTCATGTCTAGGAAGGCGCTCAGGGGCCTCCTCAGGGCAGTCAGTGTTACCTGGCTGGATGAAAGTGGGCCAGCTGGGAACTTCAGTGCCCCTTCCTCAGATCAGAGGCTGTTAGGGCCCTGAGACACCCCATGTAGAGACTTGGACATTTGCTAACTTAGTGTTCCCTGGGGTTATCTAAATGCTTGCTGCAGATTTGCTGACAAGGGCTTAGTCAAGTCCTACTTTGCCACACCGTGGACTGTAGCCTGCCAGGCTCCTCTGTCCATGGGATTTTCCAGGCAAGAATATTGGAGTGGGTTGCCATTTCCTTCTCTAGGGGATCTTCACAGCCCAGGTATCAAACCCTGGTCTCCTGTGTGTGCTGCATTGGCAGGTAGATTCTTTATCACTGTTACCACTTGGGAAGCCATATTCTAACAGTAGCACCTTCATTTAAAGGAGTTTTATGCTTGACTCTGGAGACCCAGTCCTCCAGAGCTTCTGGGCTGAGAGGGGAGACATATGATGACAGTATAATGTGTGGTGACAGAGGGAAGCCAGGGTTGTCAGCACCCAGAGGAGGGGTCAGGGGAGTCCAGCTATAGGAGGTCACGCCCAATCATGCAGTCCTCAAAGGCCCCAGGTGCTGCTGGTATTTGCTGCCCTCCTAGCAGGTGACTGGGCTTCCATGGTGGCTAAAGACAGTAAATAATCTATCTGCAATGCGGAAACCCCAGTTCTATCCCTGGGTCAGGATGATCCTCCAGAGAAGGAAATGGCAAACCACTCCAGTATTCTTGCCTGGAGAAGGCCATGGACAGAGGAGCCTGGAGGACTACGAGTTCACGTGGTCCCAAAGAGTTGGACATGACTGAGGGACTAACGAACAAGGATGCCACCTGCCTGTTTCATGTTCACTCGGTGCCCCCCGCCACCCCCTTCCCACCCTCCCTGGTTGTGGCTCCCTGTCCTGCAGGTGTCTTACTACAACCAGGCCACCCCGGGCGTTCTCAAGTATGTGACCACCAATGTGACCGGCCTCTCCTCTGAGTTCTACACCACCTTCAAGGCTTGTGAACAGTTCCTCTTGGACAACCGGAACGACCTGGCCCCCAGCCTCCAGACCCTCTAAGCATCCTCCCTGGCCACCTCACGTCCACTCCCACTCCATCCTGCCCCAAGTACATGCATGCAGTGCACTGAGGAAGCAGAGGCATTTATTCCTTCCTGCCTCCCCCGAGGGAACCTGGGGTCCACCGGGCCAGCACCTCTGGGTGCTCAGTGTCTGCCAATATCTGCCTGCAATTCTTGGCGGTAGCTCTGGGGTAGCCTGTAGTAGACTCGGGTCTTCTCCATGGCCCTGGCTGCCAGCAGCACTGCCCGCACAGATGCATAGTGGCTCCGGCCAGGGCTGTGTTCTACCGTGACTGTGGCCCGGGGAGAGGCTGCCAGCAGCCGGGCCACGACTCCAGCGGGGCTCTGGCCCAGAGGTCCAGCCTGCAGCTGGAAGGACACGGGTTGCCAGAGGCCCTGGCACAGCTCCAGCATATCTGTGAGTAGCTGTTCTCTGTAGCCACTGCCCAGCACTTCCTCGGGCCAGCCTGGGGCCACTGTCACGTGGGGGAACAGCTCGGCCACAGCTGTAAGCAACTCCCTGCCAGTCACATAGCCAGGGACCATGAAACTCCCGTGGGAGACTGTGGCCCCAACCCACACGGGCCTAGACAGGCGGCCAAGGGTGGAGAGGGTGGCCAGCATGGCCAGGGACGGCCGCAGGGCGGCGGGCTCTGCTATGTGCACGTGGACCCCCCAGCGTCCGGGGTGCATGGCCAGCTGCTGCAGGCAGGACTCCAGCGTCAGGGCACGGCCATCTGGGGTGTGGACGATGGGCACGGGGTCCCCAGCTGCAGGCTTCTGGAGGCCCACGTCCAGCAGGATCATGCCTTCTCGGTCTGGAAGAGGCAGTGGAGGCAACAGTGTCTGGGGTTAGGGTTATCATGGGGTGTCAGAGGCCCTTGCTGAAGTTAGACAGCAGGAGGTAATGGGGTCTGCTGATTGGATCTGGGTTCCAGGTGGAAGGGCTACTTTGTGAATGTGCCCAGGGCTCATCAGAATGGCCCAATAAGCCGCTGGCTCAGCTCTGGGCCTGTGCCCGCCTCTCTTGCAGCACCATGTGGCTGAAGCCTCACAAGTGCTGGTCCAAAGGCCAGGAGCCCCGCACTTTTGACAACACTGCTCCCCTATCTTGCAGCCGTGTTGCTGTGGTAACAGAAACCTGAGGTAGCTTCCCCGAGGTAACCCTTGCAGTTGAGCTAGGAGCACAGGGGCTGGACGCAGACCTTACCTGGGAGTCGCACTGTTGCTGTGCTTCCATTGCCCTGGATGTCAGGAACCAGCCACTCCACGCTCAGACCCTCGTCCCCAGGGTGCTGGAGAGCAGGGATCAGGCTGCCCCCGGTGTAGTAGCTTTGCTTCCGTGAAGTATTCACTGTGGGTCAGATTGCCAAGATGAAGAGGCCACCAGTCATGAGGCCTTCTGTGCACCATGAGTCCTCTCTAAGCCTCACAGCGAACTTCCAGGGAGCTGGAATTCCCTGTTTTGTAGATGCCGGGTGACTTGCCCAAGGTCCTACAGCTGGTGGGCAGGGTTGCTGGGATTGAAGCCTGATGGAGCCAAGTCAGTTAGGCCCCAAAGCTGGTATTCCTCCCCCTCACCTAGATGGCTCCCAGAGCAGGAATGTTGGGTCTGATGGGTCCCCTTGAGATGGCCTGATTGCAGGCTCTCCTAGGTTTGGAGTCAAGGGAACAGGGGCTTTGGACAAAGGAACAAGCATCATTGATTAGCAGGTACAGTGGAGGAGCTGTTCTCTGAATTGCTAGAGCAACCCTCAGAGAACAATACTGCAAGGGGAAGCATCTGGGATTTGGAATTTGCTGTTTCCAGTAGGAGCTGTGCCATGTTCAAGCTGAACAACTTTGTATAAATTACATAACTGTTCTGAACGTCAGTTTATCTATCTGTAAAATGTAATCCCTGCTTCATGGATCTGTGGAGCTTAATATTCCATCCCAGGGTCTGGCATACAATGGATGCCTCAAATGATTCCTTCCTCCTGTCTCACATAGGATTTTCCCCTTTCATTGGCCTGCCCCCGCCCCCCCCCAGCTCTGCTCCCATATCTACTAGGTGCTGCCTTGTGCAGAATCCACTCCACCACCCTTTCCCACCCTCCCGAGACCCCTCCCTACTGGCGAGCTGCTTGAACTGCGACAGGAGAGGTTCAAAGAGGTCATAGTAGACTTGGTGGGTGGCGGTGTTGTCCCGGATGTAGAGGAGGTCGTCCACCGTCAGGGGGTCCGAGGTGGACTGCCACATTGTCAGGCTGTACCTGGGGTCCAGAGAGCCAGCTCAGAGCCTGCCTGGGCCCAGCAGTCCTCAGCCCCTCTTCCATGCTCAGAAGTGAACCTGAGCTGGGGGGAGGCCTTGGGAACCCTGACTGAGGGCAGAGGTTAGGAGAGGACATCTCCCCTAAGAAGGAGGGGAGATGGACTGGCCTGTCCCCCACTTGGAGTGTCTATTTGTGGGCCCTCAGAAACACATTTTAGGAATCAGTGAACTAAAATGGATGGGAATGGCGAATTTAATTCAGATGACCATTATATCTACACTGTGGGCAAGAATCCCTTAGAAGAAATGGAGTAGCCCTAATAGTCAAAAGAGTCCAAAAGGCAGTACTTGGGTGCAGTCTCAAAAATGGCAGAATGATCTCGGTTTGTTTCTAGGGCAAGCCACTCAGTATCACAGTAATCCAAGTCTATGCCCTAAGCACTAGTGCTGAAAAAGCTGAAATTCAACAAAAAACAAGATGTCCTTTTCATCATGTGGGACTGGATGCAAAAGTAGGAAGTCAAGAAATACCTGCAATAACAGGCAGTTACAAAGTGAGACAGGCAAAGGCTAACAGAGTTTTGCCAAGAGTATGCAGTGGTCATAGCAAACATCGTCTTCCAACAACACAAGAGAACTCTACACACAGACATCACCAGATGGTCAATACCTAAGTCAGATTGATTATATTCTTTGCAGCCAAAGATGAAGAAGCTCTATACAGTCAACAAAAACAAGCTGACTGTAGCTCAGATCATGAACTTATTGCCAAATTCAGACTTAAATCGAAGAAAGTAGGGAAAATGACTAGGCCATTCAGGTTAAGACTTAAATCAAATCCCTTATGATTATCCAGTGAAAATGACAAATAGATTCAAGGGATTAGATCTGATAGAGTGCCTTTAGAAATATGAATGGAGGTTTGTAGAATTGTACAGTAGGCAGTGATCAAAACCATCCCCAAGAAAAATGTAAAAAAGGCAAAGTGGTTGTTTGAGGAGACCTTACAAATAGCTGAGAATCCCATTTGAATGCAGAGCTCCAGAAAATAACAAGAAATAAAACCTTTCTAAGTGAATAATGCAAAGAAATAGAGGAAAACAATAGAATAGGAAAGACTAGAGATCAAGAAAATTAGAGACACCAAAGGACCATTTCATGCAATTGGGCACAATTGAGGACAGGAATGGTATGGACCTAACAGAAGCAGAAAATACTAAAAAGAGGTGGCAAGAATACAGAGAAAAAAAAAATACACAGAAAAACTACAAAAAAAAAAAAAAATCTTAATGACCTGGATAACCATGATGGTGTGATCACTCACTTAGATCCAGACATCCTGGAGTGTGAAGTCAAGTGGGCCTTAGGAAGCATCACTATGAACAAAGCTAATGAAGGTGATGTGATGGAATTCCAGCTGAGCAATTTTAAATCCTAAAAAATGCTGTTAAAATGGTGCAATCAGTATACCAACAAAATTGGAAAACTCAGCAATAGCCACAGGACTGGAAAAGCTCAGTTTTTCATTCAAGTCCCAAAGAAGGGCAATACAGCCATGAAATTAAAAAAAACACTTGCTCCTTGGAAGAAAAGCTTTGACAAACCTACAGAGTACATTAAAAGGCAGAGACGTTACTTTGTTGACAGAAGTCTGGATAGTCAAAGCTATGGGTTTTTCCACTAGTCGTGTACGGATGTGAGAGTTGGACCATAAAGAAGGCCGAGTACTGAAGAATGGATGTTTTTGAACTGGGATGTTGGACTTGAGGTTCCAGGGACAGCAAGGAGATCCAATCAGTCAATCCTAAAGGAAATCAGTCCTGAATATTCATTGGAAGGACTGATGCTGAAAAGCTGAAATTCCAATGCTTTGGCTACCTGATGTGAAGAGCTCATTGGAGAAGACCCTGATAGTGGGAAAGATTGAAGGCAGAGGAAAAGGGGACAACAGACGATGAAATTGTTGGAGGGCATCAATGACTGAATGGACATGAGTTTGAGCAAGCTTTGGGAGATGGTGAAGGACAGGGAAGCCGAGCATGGTGCAGTTCATAGGGTCACAAAGAATCAGACAGGACTTAGTGACTGAACAATTCAGGAAAGAGAGAAGGACAGAAGAGATGGGCACGGGAGGGGTGGTTGGAGGAAAAGGAGTACGTCAGAGCTGTATATTGTCACCCTGCTTATTTAACTTATATGCAGAGTACATCATGAGACACGCTGGGCTGGAAGAAGCACAAGCTGGAATCAAGATTGACAGGAGAAATATCAATAATCTCATATGCAGATGACATCACCCTTATGGCAGAGAGTGAAGAGGAACTGAAAAGCCTCTTGATGAAAGTGAAAGGAGAGAGTGAAAAAGTTGGCTTAAAGCTTAACATTCAGAAAACTGAGATCATGGCATCTGGTCCTATCACCTCATGGGAAATAGATGGGGAGACAGTAGAATTTTTTCAGGCTCCAAAATCACTGCGGATGGTGACTGCAGCCATGAAATTAAAAGATGCTTACTCCTTGGAAGGAAAGTTATGACCAACCTAGATAGCATATTCAAAAGCAGAGACATTACTTTGCCAACAAAGGTCCATCTGTTCAAGGCTATGGTTTTTCCAGTGGTCATGTATGGATGTGAGAGTTGGACTGTGAAGAAAGCTGAGCGCCAAAAAATTGATGCTTTTGAACTGTGGTGTTGGAGAAGACTCTTGAGAGTCCCTTGGAGAGCAAGGAGATCAAACCAGTCCATCCTAAAGGAGATCAGTCCTGGGTGTTCATTGGAAGGACTGATGCTGAAGCTGAAGCTCCAATACTTTGGCCACCTCATGCGAAGAGTTGACTCATTGAAAAAGACCTTGATGCTGGGAGGGATTAGGGGCAGGAGAAGGGGACGACAGAGGATGAGATGGCTGGATGGCATCACCGACTCGATGGGCACGAGTTTGAGTAAACTCCGGGAGTTGGTGATGGATAGGGAGGCCTGACGTGCTGCGATTCATGGGGTCGCAAAGAGTTGGACACGACTGAGCAACTGAACTGAACTGAACTGAACTGAACTGATGAAGAGGGAAGGGAGTGGCCCCCAGTGGGAGAGGCTGAGGAAGGTGGTGCTGTGCAGCTGGGACCAGTGCAGAGGTGGGAGGAGGGTGGGCTCCCCCAATCCCACAGAGCTATTGGGGCAGAGGCTATAGGTGCAGTCTGTACAGCCTCAGAGAATAGCTGGTTCCCCAGGGAGGAGGAAGTGGGAGGCAAATTGCCTCTCAGAATAAACACTTTCTCGAACTTCCCTAGTGGTCCAGTGGGAAAGACTGTGCTTCCACTGCAGGGGTTGCTGGTTTGATCTCTGGTGGGGAACTAAGAGACCGCCTGGTGTGTAGTGGGGCCCAAAATAAAATAAGCAGAAAAAAATAAACACTTCCGACTGGACAGGCTGCCTCAAGTGATAGCTGCCCATTACTAGAGGTGTACAAGAAGAAAGCAGGGATACTGTAAACACTGTGAGTACCAGCAGAGGTTGGGCCAGTTGATCATGAAGACCCTTCTAACCATTAGCGTCTGGGATCTTGCCATGGATTCAAGCACTGGGAATGAGTTTGGAGGGAGAAGGGGCCAGGGCAAGGGCCTGGGCATTCTCACCTGTCAGATTGGCCAAGCAACCAGCTGAATTGGGGCCAAGCAGCCCTGACCATGACAGCCCGCACGGGGAAGGTCACCTTCTGGGGCAGTGCTCCCACCAGCTCCTGCATCTTCTCCATCATGGTCTGGGTATATGTCCCATTTGGGAACAAGGGCAGGTACAGGGTAGTCCAGCCTGGAGACAGGGTTGTCTTGGGATACTTCTCCTGGACCAAGGCCAGGAACCTGCAGACAATCATCAGAGATGCTGGTCTTTTAGAGCCCCTTCCTCATCTCCTGGGTTCCCATCAGAGTGCTAGGAAGAGGCAGGATCTATCACATCTAGATATTAGAGTGCAGTCCTGAAGCACATGTTGGCTTGCTCAAAGTCCCATGTTAGGGCATGAACTTTGGAGCTGGGGAGGCCTGGGTTTGAGTTCTGACTATAACCTTGGGCAGCTCACCCAACCTCATTGATTCTTTAAAATGGCATCCTTTCAGGCAGGACAGGGCTTCTCAAACATCCCCAGGTGGATGCAGAGATGCATCCAATCCCTAGGTGTGGGACCTGTGCTGTCACCTGTGAGTCTGAATTTTCAGATATTTAAAAATGTCATTCAAAGTTTGAACTCTTACAAATTAGAATAGGCAAATGTTACCCTCTCCCCCTCCCAGATTACTGAGTAACGTTCACTCCCAAGATCAACCATTTTTTTCAATCTTGGGCCACTGACTACATTTTCAAGCTGCTGCTTTCCAAATGCACCTGAGTTAAAGACTAGATAAATACTGGGTGGATGTATTGTTAGCTGACTGGTTGAAAAGATGGTTTAATGGATGGATGGGAGAAAGGATGGATGGAAATGGACAATAGAGAGCTGGAAGTTAGAGTCAGAAAGACCTGGCTTTGTATGTTTGCTCTGCCAATTATTAGATGTAGGCAGGTCATTTAACCTCAGTGAGATAATTCCTATATTACAAAATGAAAATAATAGTACCTACCTCATTCTCATTGTAAGAGTTAAATGGTACTCCACAACTAGACTACTTAAAACAATGCGTGTGACAAGACAATAAACATTCAACAGACTGAGCCTCAATTATTGTCTGCTTTCTTATCTGCAAAATGGTGAGAAAAAATGCTTCTAACCTGGCATTTCTATGAACTCAGATATATTCTCTCCTTTTATGCGGCCCTCTGTAAACTGTAAACTTGCACCATGTAGCTGGTGCTATGTAAGTGCTGCTGTTGGCAGTGCTGGGATCTGGGGGTCGGGGGTGGGGAGGCTGGGGAAGGAGTTAGTGTTTTAGACTTTTCTAGCAGGCCAAGGGTTGCCCTGGTCACCATTTGCCATCCAGGAATAAACATTATAGTAAGGAGACAAACCCGTAATCCAACAGTGACAGCCTTGTGAAATCAGGACTGTTAGGAGAAAGTGTGAGGGACAGTCCTCAGCACCCTTGGACGTCAGGGACGTTTCTGGGGCAGGTTCACCAGGAAATGGTGGAAGGGCATTCAAGGCAGAGGGAACAGGATGTGTGAAGGCTGAGTTCAGAGGATATGGTGTGGCTGGAGGCAAACTCAGCACAGGTCCCCTGAGCACCTGCTGTACCAGACGTTGAAGGAAACAGACTGGACACAGCTGGAGCAGAGAGGCAAACACTTACTGTGTGGCATTGACCTCTGTTGATCTGACCATGTTGGGACCCCTCAGGATGTCGGCATTGATCCACACAGGCCTTCGAACTTTCCCCTCCTCTGTCAGCCGCCGAAGCAGGTCCAGGGAGGGGCCCACAGCCTTGATGCTCTTGAAGTCTAGTTTGATGCCTGTGGGGAGAGGGCCAAGGGCTTGGGAAATTGGTCCCTTGTGCTCAAGGAAGAAGGAAACAGAAGACATGACTTCCTGGGACAGAGAGCAGGTATGCCGTGTGTGTTGGGGATGGGAGGGAAGACAGGGATGGAATTCTGGGTGGGTGTGAAGAAGGCTTCAAACAGGCGGAGCTCTCCTGGAGAGAAAGGGCTTGCCCGTGAAGGAGTGATCTTCCATCCCTCATCCCCAAGGGGAGGAAGCAAATGATGGCTCAGGGCTTGGGACTTGGGGCTGGTGCAGATGTTGTCAAGCATCTGATGAAAACGGACTGTGATTCTTGGACAGGCAGACTGAGAGGGTCCAAAGCCACACAAACCTAAATAGCAGATGAGGCTGAGGAATAGAAAGAGTCAGTTGCTCAGTCGTATTTGGCTCTTTGCAACCCCATGGACTGTAGCCCAGATTCCTCTGTCCATGGGATTTCCCAGGCAAGAATACTGGAGTGGGTTGCCATTACTTTCTCCAGGAGATCTTCCCCACCCAAGGATTCAACTCGGGTCTCCTGCATTTCAGGCAGATTCTTCACCAGTTAGAGAAGGATGTTGAAAGCCAGGCCAAGGAGATCATAATTTGTCCTGAGGACAGTGGGGAGCTATGGAGGGTTAAAGCAGGGAAGTGATTTGACAGTTGGCATTTTGGAAAGCTCACCCGGGTAGGGGCTGAGTTTGGAGGCAAGAAGCCAGTGAGGAAGGAGGTCCAGGAGAAAGATGTGAGTGGGATTGGATCGGGGGTAGGAGTCAGGGTTAGAATTGGCAGAAGCAGCAGCTGGGTAGATGCAGGGGATGGGGTGATGCCTGGATTCTTTTGGTAACTGGCAAAGAAACATGGGAGGAGAAGGTGGAATTGGCTTTGAGCATGTTGTATCCAGTTCCATGGATTCAGAGCCTGAATGCTCATGTTTGGCCCTTTGCAGCTTACCCTGCACTTTTACATCTCTTGTTTCACCCATCTTCCCTGAGCCCAGGTCTCTAGAGTGGAAAGCTGAGGCAAGAGCAACTCCTGATAGGGATTGGACTTGTCTCCTAGTGGAGTGACCCTTGCACATGTGGCCTGAGTACTGGAGGGCTTGGCAGCTGGGGAGGGGCTGAGAGAAGTCCTTACCCTTCTGGGAAGAGGCCAGCACAGCCTCCAGCCACTGCTCCAGGGTGTTGTCGCTGTAGATGTCTGGGGGGTGTGCCATGATGGGGACTCCGGTCTCGTTGACTGTGCCGAGCCCTTCTATTGTGATGTCTGCCTCCAAGACCATGATGTTACCTGTTGCATTGGACAGACAAACTTTTTAAAGCAATTTTTCTCATCATCAACACACTTATTATAGAGTATTTGGAACATACAGAAAAGCAGAAAGGGAAATATTCACCCACATTTCCACCCATTTTTATGTATAATTTTTACACAGTTGAGGCCACTCAGTATTTATAATCTTTTCTGTTTCACTAAAAAAGCTACAAAATCCCTGATTGAGGGTAGTCCCCTGTTTCAGTTAGCTACTCCCCCTCCTTTCCTGAGACATTTCAGTAGTCTCTAAACTTTTGCTACTAACAAATAAGGATGCATATTTTTTTTCTGATTTTTCTGATTATTTTCTATCCTGACTTGAACTTTAGTCAGGGCCATGCAAGGTCGTTTTTTTGTTTGTTTTTTAATTATTTATTTCTGGTTGCTGGGAGCAGGTTTCCTCTAGTTCTGGCAAGCAGGGGCTACTCTTCATTGCTGTGCCCAGGGTTCTCATTGCAGCAGCTTCTCTTGTGGAGCAGCGAGTCCTGACTCACGAGTCCAAAAGCTCACAGGCTCGGTAGTTGTAGCACATGGGCCTAGTTGCTCCAAAGCATGTGGGATCTTCCTTCCTAAACCCTGGATCCAATGGATTCTTATCCACTCTCGTTCAGTCGCTAAGTCATGTGTGGATCTTTGTGACTCCATGGACTGCAACATGCCAAGATTTTGTCTCCTTCAGTATCTCCCAGAGTTTGCTTAAACTCATGTCCATTGAGTCAGTGATGCCATCTAACCATCTCATCCTCTGTTGCCTCTTTCTCCTCTGGCCCTCAATCTTTCCTAGCATCAGGGTCTTTTCCAATAAGCAGGCTCTCTCATCCAGTGGCCAAAGTATTGGAGCTTCAGCTTCAGTCCTTCCAGTGAATATTCAGGGTTGATTTCCTTTAGGATTGTCTGGTTTGATCTCCCTGCAGTCCAAGGGTTTCTCAAGAGTCTTCTCCAGCACCACAGTTTGAAAGCATAAGTTCTTCTACCTTCAGCCTTCATTATACCACCAGGGAAGGCTGCAGTATCGTTTTTAAAGCTCATATTATCAAATTACTGTCTAGAAAAATTCTTGTGACTCATATGCATGCCAGAAGTACATAAGCGGGTCCATCTCTGGGCACCCTTAAGAGCACTGAGCATTGTGATTATTTTTGTCTTTTAAATGCATACAATTAACTCCTCAGGTGACTATGTGATACCTTTTGGGAGAGTTCAGTCCAGGAGGGAGTTAAGGACTTTGAGTGAGAAGCAGGCTGCCAAGAGCAGGCCAGGCTGTCTGACCAAGGAGTGGAGTAAAAAGCCTGGGTGGAGTTGCTATGAGTGCCTGATCCATCAGATATTTGGCATCAGAGGGGATCTCTTCTGTTTTATACTTGCAGCCCTGCTCCCCTCCAAGTCCATTCACCTATACCTGATTGTGCTACCTCTATTAAAAATTCAAAATATCCCTGGCTTTAGTCCTGAGAATCCAAACCAAATGCCTGCCCATAGTCTGTGAGGTCCTGTAGGACCAGGCCCAGCAAACTTTGCCATCTCACCTGGAGTCCCTCTCTCCCTCAATATCTAGCTTCCATCCACTCCTGTTTCTCCAACATCAGTGTGCACATAAACCAGCCAGGAACTGTCCTAATGCAAGTTCTGCTCAGTAGATCTGAGGTGGGGCCCAAGACATCTACCAGGCTCCCCAGTGATGCCCAGACTGCTGGTCCACAGACCACACTTTGAGCCTCGAAGCTCAAATATCTTGTCTCCCATGTCTGGGCTCCTACACCTGGCTGTTGCCATGGCAACACTCTTCCCTCCACAGTTTTACTAGGCCACCTCCTGCTCATTTGTGGGTGTTGGCTTAAAATATCAAGGAGGCCATCCGTAAACCACACACTCAAAGTTAGGCTGACAGCTTATCCTTTGAGCACTCAGCCCCCATGTAACTATTCATTGAGCACCATCCTTCCTGAGCCTGAGGGCTAGGAGCAGGCTCCAGCTTTAGGCGGCCCACCATTTGGATTTCCAGTGCTAAGGTGGTACCAGGCCTAAGAAAGGAGCTTCAGAAATGTTTGTTGGATGGTAAAAGACTGGATAAATGAATGATAGAAAAATCTGAGATCAGTGACTTCCCTGGTGGTCCAGTGGACCACCTTCCTTCCCAGTGCAGATGGCATAGGTTTGGTTTCTGGTCGAGGAACTAAGATCCCACAGGCCTCACAGTGCAGCCAAAAGAGAAAAAGTTAAGTTCAACCAGCCCAGGTCCAAAAAAGTAAAAGAGCTTGCACAAAGTTGCAGAGAATTTTTGCAAATTTCTCTAAAGCATAAGTGTCTGGATTTCCAGAAGGGAGAGGAAGCTGAGTGCCAGGCTGTCCCCAGCACTGTTTCAGGCACTTTGCACTGTCTCATTTCATCCTCATATCTCTGACCCAGCGCTCCAGACTCCCTGGTGTCCTCACTGCCAAGATGGGGATGAATCACTCTAGATTTTAACTACAAAACATGGAAATAAAAGTTGTAGTAAAAAATAAAAATTAAAAAAAAACACAAAAAAACCCCCAACAGGTTGTAAATTGTGAAGGGCTATATGAAGGTAGTCTTTATTTCTTTGGCTTTCTTGTCTTAACTTCGTTACCTGGGGATGCTAAGAGAGGGATGCGGAGGGGCTTGGGGCCCAGCAAGGCCCAGAGAGGCCAGGCCCCAGGCGGGTAGCTGGGCAGATAAGAGGGTAGTTAAGGAGAATGGGTGCTGAGGGGTCTCCTCCCCCATCTAACAGGGGCCAGGTCTGGTCTGGGGAAGGTGGAGGTACACTGGGAGGGAGCCAGGGCTGGAACCCAGGTCTCAGTCCTGGTGATTCTCTGAAGCTGCTGCCTTGCTTGGCCTGCACCAGCTGCCTCCCTTGAGATGCTGGCAGCCCCTGAACTCAGGACCACGTCTCGTTTCTACACCACCTCAAGCTGGGTGCAGAGCACGGGCCCAGCAAATGCTCAGTGAGGGGGACTAAAGATGGATGGGCCTAACTTGTCTCCTTGTGATCAGCTCCTGGATCCAGCTTCCTCCTGCACGGACTTTCACACCTGTTCGGGGCTTTCCAGATCCTGAATCTGAGAGCTAACTTGTTTAGGGGGTGGGGGGTGGGGATGAGGGAAGAGGAAATGAGGGAAGATTCATGTTCCTGCAGCTACAGTAGTAGCCCTGGTCCTAAGGGGTGCAGACAGGTGAAGAGTGCTGCTCTCCACTAGGAGCCCACAGGAAGTTCCCAGGCCCTCCCTCCCCTTCACCCCCCACCCCTCCCCGCCCACCCAGGAGCTCTACACATCACATCCGGGAGGAGGAGCACCATGGCCGACGCTGAACCCAAGACTGCTAGCTTCCAGTCCCCTGCTTTAACACTTGCAAGCTGTGTGACCTTGGGCAGGTTACTTGACTTCTCTGTGCCTCCTTTCCCTCATTTACTAGAGGTAAATAATAAAATATCCTTTGTGTTGCATTCACTGTGTTTTAATTATCATCTACATGGAGTAAATCACTCAGTCTGGGATATTCCTATTGTTTCAGCATAATTACTAACAATGACCTCTTCATCCTACCTGTCCACATTTGGCAGAGGAAGTGGTTTGAACTGCAGATAGGTGAAGTCACTTGTCCCAAACCACTCCTTTGGTAAATGGTAAAATGTAGAATTGGAGCCCACTTCCCTCTGCCTCCCAGGCCTTTGCTCTGGCCCCTCCCATCCACTAAGATGTCTGGTGTGACTTCACCAGCCTAACTCTGGCCTACCATTGCTTCCCCTCAGGATCCCTCCCCCAGCTGTGGAGCCACCCTCCTCCCATAGACCTGTGGAAGGCCTCAGGTCCTTCCCACCCCTGTGGCTATACTGACTGGTTGCTCTGCATGCTCCAAGCTGTTGGGCACCACCCAGTTGGGGCCCTTAGCTTTCTTCTTGGCCAAGGTCACAACTTGGTGGGGCTTGATCCCTATCTGCTGCCCCAGGACTTACCTGAGATGAGCCTGGGGCTGGCAGAGTCTCTTTGCCTTCCCTCAGACCTCATCTCCCAGCTGAGAGTTCTCCCTCTTGCCAAGTTCTCTAGCTCCTTTTCACCCAAGTCTGACCATTAGCCTCCCAATCCTGAAGCAGCAGCAAACTGGCTCCATCCAGCCTGCGGAAGCCCTCCCCTCTGCTGACCACCAAGCCTGCCTCCTCCAGGAAGTCTAAGGACTCATTCATTCACTCAGCAAACCTTTCCCTGTCTCTTACCCCAGGCCCTCTGCTGGTGACTCTGCAGGAGATAAAAGCCAGAGGCCTTGAGCCTGGGTCTTGTTCTGCTTCAGACCGACTGCGTGACCGTGAACAAGCCCCTCTCCCACTCAGGATCTAACTTTCCTAAAATTGAGGGTTTTTGGTAGAGCAGTGGTTCTCAAAGTGTGGTCCTGGGCTCACCACATTAGCGCCACCTGGAAACTTACTAGCAATGCAAATTCTCAGGTCCCACCCCAGAGCCACTGAATCTGAAACTCACTTCTGAAGAGTGCACAAATTTGGGGCCCCTTCCTTTCATCTTGAAAAGATGACAGCAGGATATGACCTTGGACCCAGACATCTCCCTACAGCCTGAGCCACTCACATAACCAGTGAGCCCTCACTTTCTCAAGTGGATGATGGCAAGAACGCAGCCATGCCCATCCTAACGCTGCTTCCCAGGAAAAGCTGTCTTAGCCCTGCCGCCACTCTCCCTCCATCTTCTCCACCTCTGCCCCAGCCTGCCCCATCCTGGCGACTGGACTTACTGCTGAGGGCAGCCTTCATTTGCTCCTGGCTGTTGGCAGCGTGGTACCAGGTGACGAGCAGGCCGTCCCTTTGGCTGATCTGACCCAAGCTCAGCAGGTAGTCCAGCATGTCTGCGTCAGAGCGGCAGGTCCCACCCTGCTCACAGCCTGGGGTCAAGGACAGGAGGCTGTTAGCATCAGTTCTTGCCCCAGCCCAAGACTCTTGCCTGCACATCCTACTAACCCTCTCTGGGCCCCAGGGCCACATTCAGCCTGCCATCTAGCAGAGAAATAGTGGACCCCAGAGTCATCAGTGCTGTGAGAGAGAAACATGTGGGGTCCTGAGCACAAGGATGCTCCGGACCAGCCTGGGGACATTGGAAAGTTCACTGATAAGGGAACATTTGAGGGAGGCCTAGAAGGATGGGTGTGTACATTTAGCCAAAAGAGGGGACTAGGTTATTCCAGACAGAGAGGAAAGTATAAGAAAAAGGGTTGGCCATAGGAAATGTGGTTGCTTAAAAGAATGGCCATTGCTTTGGTACAGATACAGAGAAATGAGATAGGACAAGATTGGAAAAGAGGGCTGTGATCTGGTTGTAAAGGACCCTGGGTGCCAGCAAAAAAAAAAAAAGGGTGGGGTATGTGCTGGAGACGGCAAACAGGTTTAGGAAGTGCTCCTTAGTGTCAGGGCGAGAATGGCCTGGCAAGAGCAGGCTGGCGGCAGAGCCTGTGTGGGAAGGGGCGGGCTGAGGTGGGGGTCCAGCAGGAGAGGGGAGCTGAGAGGTTAGGGTGAGCAGGGTATGGAGATAGCAGATGGGAAGGAAGAAGCCTCGAGGCACAGGACTGAAGATACAGGCATGAGGCAGGAGGAGGCTGCTCCCAGGTCCCCATGGAGGTGGGGTCGGTGATGGGAGGGGCAAGTAGAGCTGTGGATGGAGGTAAGTCTTGGTAGTCAATTCGAAAGGAAACCAACTCTGAACACTCATTGGAAGGACTGATGCTGAAGCTGAAACTCCAATATTTTGGCCACCTGATGAGAAGAGGGACTCACTGGAAAAGACTCTGATGAGGGGAAAAGATGGAAGGCAGGAGGAGAAGGGGACGACAGAGAATGAGATGGTTGGATAGAATCATGGACTCAAAGGACATGACTTTTACCAAGCTCCGGGAGAGAGGAAAGGACAGAAGCCTGGTGTGCTGCAGTCCATGGGGTCGCAAAGAGTCAGAGACGACTTAGCGACTGAACAGCAGCAGCAATGGGGAAGAGAGCAGAGGCCAACAGGGCTGTCTGTGGGGACAGGACCTTCTGGGGGCAAAGAGTGAGGGGTAGGGAAGACAACCAGATAGCACAGCTGGATGCTCCTACCTGGATGCGTTTGTGCATCGTTTCTGGTGCGTTTCTGCAGCGAGAAGCCCACGATTATCGCGATGGTGAACACCAGAGCCACACTGATACCGCCGACAATGACCCACTTCCAGCACCCCATCTTATTTGCCATGATGACCCTCTGAGGGGAATACCTCTCAAAGGGCAGAGTCTCCTGAGTCTTCCTCCTCAGAGGGAGGAAGGAGTCTTGACAGCGCTTAAATCTCCTCCTGGCAGAACAGCTCCTGCGGGCCTGGAATGTCCTAAAAGACAGCTTTGGAGGCCCCGCCTACCTCCCACCCTCCTCCTCCTCCCCTCTCTCTTCCAGGATCTTAACAGGTCAAGCAGAAAATCCTGCCACCTCCAAAATGACCTTTGAGCACAGTAAGAGACAGCAGCTGATGTTAGATTGAGCCCAATGCAGGAGACACGCCTGCAATGCAGCAGACATGGGTTCGATCCCTGGGTTGGGAAGATCCTCTGGAGAAGGAAATGGCAACCCACTCCAGTATTCTTGCCTGGAAAATCCCATGGACGGAGGAGACTAGTGGACTACAGTCCTTGGGGTTGCAAAGAGTCAGACATGACTGAGCGACTTCACTTTCAGATAGATTATCTACCTGGAATTGAAATAGATAGAATTGGTATGCTGACCTGGTCTGCTGCAGGCCACTTCTGACACTTCTGAGTCCACAGGGGAGGAACTGGTCACTGCCTGGCACAGAGGGTGTCCTATGGTTCCCGGTGTGGGAAAACAGAGACTGTCCCTATTTCAGAGACCCTGGAGTTTAAGTCAGTTCAAGAGCCAACTGTCATGTGCACGGAGAATTGGGGCTTACAGAAGTGTACAGAGAAATCCAGCAGGGGCCTTGGTTACTCGAGTGTGTGTGTGTGTGTGTGTGTGTGTGTGTGTGTGTGTGTAGGAATGATTAGAAGGATGCCCAGGTGGGCAGATCCAGGGAATCTGGGAAGTAAGGAGAAGGTTGGGAGGGAGTTTGGTTCAGGTGTCCTCGGGTCATGGGGACTCTGGGTGTCCCTGAAGAGCTGCCCAGGAAGGAATTGGATGTAGAAGTCTGGGACTCTGGACCAAACATGAAGCTGCGAGCATCTTTTCCTGCTCAAGGCAAAGAGAGAAGGGGGTGGAGGCAGACTTTTGGGGACTGCAGACTTTAGGGATTGTAGGGGAAGAGAAATTGGTTAAGTGTTGTGGGATAGAATGACAAGAGGTGGGGAAGGTCCAGGGAGCCAATAGAAGGGTCACTTAGAGGAAAACAGGGTGGTCATCTGTGCCTGGAGATGGAGGCCCATAAGGACAGCAAGGTGCTGCCAGACTTGACAATAAGAGTAAAGGTGATGTTGGAGACAGTCTAGAACTTAGCTCTTACAATTGACTAGGCTTTCCACATACAAACAGCCCTTGTTTTGTTGCCAAAATCTTGGCTGTCTGTGCACCAATTTCAAACAGAAATATGGAGACAGAGTTATGGAGGGGAAGGAAAAAGTGGTTTTGTTACTTTGCCAGGCAAAGGAGGAACACAGCAGGCAAGCTGCTCAAGAAGTGTGCCCCCCTCCCTGGTGACTAGGGAGAGGTTACCTAGTCAGGCAGCAGTATGTGATAAGGATCAAGGCAGAAACAGTCTTCATTTCTTCTTCTGCAAAGTTTCTAAAGGGTGGGGTTGCTGGCAAATTAGGGTTTGCAGGGTCTCAGGTGATCTAGTCTCTTATCTTGATGAGCCTCTATGGTCCCTTTAATCTTGCGTCAGGTGGTTATGTTGCTGTTCCTCCCTTGATTAGCAACTGTTCTGCCAGTTGGAACCAAGAGGTCATGGAGCCTGGAGTTTGGCCTATAAGAAATGACAAAGAGATCTCAGTGCCCAGGTACCCCACAGGGCCCTGCTTGGCATCGGCTTTAGAATTGTGTGCTTATTTAGTCTTTGTGACACTCTTGTAGGGGAAGTATCACTCCTGCATCTCAGATAAGTGAGTGGGATTTGGTCAGCAGCAGAGCTGAGGTATAAGCCTGGGTCTTTCCACCCAGGAGGCTGTGTGTTACCCACCCCTGGGAAGGATGCTGACGGGTTCTGAGGCACTCAGCATAGCAGCCTCTCTCAGCTCTGTGGCCTGTGCAGGCTCTCTTTGAGGAAGAGGGACTTTATTCAGCTCTGGCTTTTGGCAGGAGGAAGAGCTCTGGGTTGGTCTGCAGGCCACAAAGGACCCCATTGCCTATGACACTCCTCATGAGACAGATAATTGATGACGGTACTGAGCCCACTCTGTGCCCGGCACCACGCTAGCTCTGGGAACCCATCAGCCCCCTGTGACATATGGTAGGAGAGGAGAACATGGGGGTTGTCAGGGACTCCAGCACCTCTTAGGTGGAGCCGCTGTTCTAGAGCTGATGCTGCGGGAGTGGGGTTACAGCCTGTAAAGATGGGCTAATAGCATGGCCTCCGAGGTGGGACCTGATGGATCCCTGATGAGCACAGGGGAACTGGGAACCCCAGCCTCCTGGGTGGACCATGTGGCTTTCAGGGGAGGTGTGGAGAGCCATGTGGGACCAGGGCTAGGAAAGGTTGTTCTAGATGAGGGGGCAGCGTGTGTGGAGCAAACAGAGCATGTGGGAGAAGGGCTTGCTCGGGAGGGCAGCAGTGCCGTGGGGCTGGACCCTGACAGGTGGGAGAAAGGGGTGCTCAGGGAAGAAGGCTGGGGAGGCTAGCAGGGCTGGGTCACCCTGATAAAGAGCTTTACTCCAACCAGGAGGGCATAGGGAGCCTGCATCTGTGGGATAAGCAGGAGAGGGACATGCTCAGTTTCGCATTTTGGAGAATGCTTCTGGAAGCTTCTATTGAGGAATGGCTGGAGGGGGCCCCCCTACACACCTCTTATCTCCCCATTCCTTGCCACAGAACCACATGACCTCCCAGGCCATTCCACTCAGAACAACCACAGGTCCACCAAGACCCAGCCTCTCCTGGGTTACTTCAATTACCCAGCCCCTTACCTGAAAACTGGGTTCACCGTCTTGTTGGTGCCAAGTCAAAAGACACAACCAAGCCAAAGATCCAGAGAAGGATTTATTACTTTCCCAAAGCAGCGTCTCCAGGAACAGCAAAATAGGAGAAGTTGTAAGTAAGGGTACATGTATATTTAGGAAGGGGCTTGAACAGAGGAGAATTCCCCGTAGGATTGAGGCAAATGATGATGGAGTCCAAGTTTTAGTTGATTGAAATCATGAAGATCAGAAAAGGTCAACATCCCATCCTCCACCTGGCTGGAAGCCGTTTAGTTCTGGCAGAACTCCCTGTCAGATTGTTTACACATATCCCTTAAGGAAGAACTAGGACTCTGTTTTATCTTAACCATTGATTCTTGAGGGCTTTTCCTTTGTTCCTACACTCCCTTACTTCCCTTAAGGTTGTTGATAACTGAGACCTGTTCAAGGGCAAGCCCTGTGGCCATTTTATTTAAGAAAGTATGAAGTGAAAGTCACTCAGTCCTGTCTGACTGTTTGTGACTCCATGGACTATATAGTCCATGGAATTCTCCAGGCCAGATTACTGGTACAGATTCCCTTCTCCAGGGGATCTTCCCAACCCAGGGCTCCAACCCAGGTCCTCCATATTGCAGGTGGATTCTTTACCAGCTGAGCCACCAAGGAAGCCCAAGAATATTGGAGTGGGTAGACTATCCCGTCTCCAGTGGATCTTCCTGACTCAGGAATGGATTACCAGCTGAGCTACCAGGGAAGCTCATTTTATTTTAAGCAGCAAGGCAATCAACATACTCAGTTCTCAAGCTTCCACCACCTGCCCCCACCCCCCGCCCAAATCAACTGATGTTTACAACTGTCATTGTACATTTATAATAAACCACTCAAAATACTTAGTTTCAAAAAGAAAAGTGGTTACCGAGTCCTAAGAATGCAGCATTGAAATGATTTCCTATACTTAGTAGCCTCTTTTCTGTGAAAATTGCCTCCTGTTGTTTCATATCCTTGAGCTTTGTGGATTCACATTGTCCTGCAATCCCTTTCTAGAGTGACCATCCAGGAGGCAGGATCTATAACTAAAGGACATTCGTTTCACTTTTACCGAGTACCTATTCTGTGCCGCTTACTGTGTTAGATGTCGAGGACAGAGACACCAATATGGCACAGCTGCTGCCCTGATTGGATCATACATTGTTTTTAAAACCAAAAACCAGGAAACTAATGTATACATATTGCAGATTTTGAAAAAAAATCAGAGGTACTAAAAAAGAAAAGAAAAAAATAATAATATTGTCCTTCGAGAAAGTTATTATTAAAAGTTGTGATGTATATTGTTCTACATTTTTTTCTATGCATGTGTAAAAAACAACCTTCAAAAAGAATTGTCTTGTGATATTGCTCTGTACCACATCCCAACATTTATTGTACTTGTTTGGTTTTAAAGTCGTATAATCTGGCCTGTGGAATATTTATATTTGCCTGCTTAAAAAAATGGTAGTGTTCCCACTGCTTGTGGGGGACAGCATGTCTAAATGCATAGGCTCTGGGCTGCTGTCCTCCCTTCTAGCCCTGACACTCACTAGCTGTGTGACCTAGGGCAGTCACTTCACCTTTTGGTACCTCAGTTTCCTCACTTATTACCTTGTAGGGTTGTTGTGAGGGTTAAATGAAAAAAACACATGTAAATCATTTGTGACAGTATCTGGTACCTACCAGATGCTTGATAAAGATGATGTGTTTTTCATGTATGTATATAATTTATAAAATATGAGTTTGTAATCTGCTTTTCCCTTGCATATATAATATGAGCATTTCCCCATATGATTGCAATTTTCTTTTTTAATAGATGCATAAAATCTCATTCAATGGCTGTTTCCCTAGTTTATGGAACCATTACCTTCCATGTTGGATACCTGGATTGTTTACAGTCTTTTATTAATAAGCAAATGCTCCAGTGAGCCTCTCTGGCCATATTCCTGATGATGTTCTAGGCCTGATTCTCAGAAGTAGAATTGCACATTTTTAAGGCTTTTGGAATCTCTGTTAAAATTTCATTCCCTAAGATTTACATCAGTGTGGAGCTGCAGGGTTGGGTGGGGTTTCCACTGAGGGAGAGGCAAAGAGCAAATGCCATTCCAGATAACCGGAAGGATGACCCAAGGCTCAGAAGGAGAGAGCACAGGACCCCCTAGAGGAACTGGGAGAAAGCTGTTAAGTCATGAGGTTTGAGTGAGCCTGTGGTGGGGCAACAAGGCTGCAGGGTGGAAAAAGCCATATTTGATTCACTGGTGATGGGCAGGCTGGGGTGTAGATGACTCAGAAAAAGGTTAACGGAAGTAGGGAACCCAACAAAGAAGCTCTTGTCAGAAGCCAGACAAGGGACTTCCCTGGTGGTCCATTGGTTGCGAATCCACCTCCCAATGCAGGGGACACAGGTTTGATCCCTGGTCTGGGTACTAAACTCCCACATGCTGTGGGGCAAGTACACCTGTGTGTCACAACTAGAGAAAGCCCACATGCTGCAAAGTAAAAGGAAAAAAAAAAAAGGGAGAGAAGGGGAGATCTGAACTGGGTGTGAGGAAAGGGGAGGACATATGCGTATTTTCATCTAAGAATCTTTTGGACCTGGAAACTGACACCACGTGGAAAAAGGAGGGGAGGGAGGGAGGAGTCAGAGGCTTTGCTGGAAGGTTTCAGCCTGTTTCTTGGAGAATCAGGGATCACTGATAGAAATAAGAAAGCTGGGAGGAGGAACGTGTTTTGTGGGAAGGAGATTAACTAACACGTGCTGAGTTTCAGGTGCGGTATGTAGATGGTGAACATGCTGGGGCAGGAAGCACAGGGATGGAGCTATGTTAATCTCGGCCCAGGGTATCCGCAGATCCACTCCTGGGTCTTCCCTGGCCCTGCACTGAGTTAAATCCCGCCCCCTTGTCTCTGCCTTCCAGCTGCGTCAGCCAATGGGAGGCATTGGCTGGGGTAAGAGGGTGGCGAGGCAGAGAGGCAGTGTGTTTTGTCATCTCTTTCCCTCTGCTTCAGGGAATGTGTCTAGCAATAAATGGCTCCTACTCCCACTCTGATATCCCTGTCTCCTGCCCATTTGGCTCCTCACTATCATCATGAAACTATTTTCGTTTTTACATTTTTTTTTGGCTGCAAGGCATGCGAGATTCGCTTCTGACCAGGAATTGAACCTGTGTCCCCTGCAATGGAAGCGTCTTAACCACTGTATTGCCAGGGAAGTCCCTGCTTCCTCTGTTTTAAATGAGGCTTCCCTGCTGGTAAAGAATGATAAAGAATCTGTTTGCAGTGCAGGAGACCCGGGTCAACCCCTGGGTTGGGAAGAAATATGTAGTGTGGTTTCTTGCTTTCCACCTTGGACCCTGACTTATTCAGGAGCCTCGGGCATGGATACCATAATTAAAGCAAGGAGCATGGACAAGGTCCCAAGTGAGAGAGGGGAGACCCAAGCCCAGAATCCCAGGGGGCACAGATGTAAGGAGTTTTTTTTTTTTTTGTGGGGCTGGCTAGGGAATGGGGACACTGAAAACAACACAAGAGAAAAAAATCTGGGGCAGGCAGAGAACAAGCAGAGTGAAGTGCTCCAGAGATTAAGGAAGGAGAATTCTTAAGTTTGGAGCATTGTAAAGCAGCTGCTCCAGAGAAGGCAGAGAATGAAGTTGGAGGACAAGACTTTTAACTCAGTGATGTCCTCAGAGGCAGAGCCTCAATGGAGAGGAGGTGGCAGAGAACAGATTAAGTGTTAAAGAACAGGGCAGGGAGTGAGGTTTGGGAGGCCAGAGTGAGAGTAAAACATTTCTTCAGGAAATACTTACTGAAGAATTGAAATGCTTGCCAAGTATATTTGGTACTATGTATGGTAAAGTACCAGGCCTAGGGTACCTGGTGTGCAAAGATGAATAAGTCATGGTCTCTGTTCTTAAAGCATTCTCAGTGGAGAGAGGGAAACAATCAAGTGTCCAGAGATTTATAGCATACTGTAATATGATTCTGATCTATGCTGCAGGAGCAGAGAGAAAGTCCTACTGAGCTGTGGGGAGGGGCTCAAGGAGGACTTCTTAGAGAAGGTACCTCTGGGTTTTGACAGATAAGTAGGAGTCATGCAGATGAAATGGGGATGAAAGGGAGGAAAAAAACATTCTGGATGGAAGGAACAGCCTGAGAAAGGGCATAAAGGTAAGAAATGTTACTGTGAGTTTGAGGAGACCACTGTGTTGCTAAAGCAGAAATGGTAGGAGATGAGACTGGGAAATGATTCCAGTGGAATAATGATCTAGATATGTCAATGGGAGTGAGAAGGCAGTGGGAGATTCACTCTGATGTGCTAAAATAGAATAACAGACACCCTGGAATCCTACGTGCAGTGACAGTATTTTCAAGAATGAAGATAAAATATTTTTTGTAAACAAGAACTGAGTATCACTAATAAATTATTTGCTAAAAATTTTATTTGTTTATTTTATCTTTGGCTGTGCTGAGTCTTTGTTGGTGCACCATAGGATTTCTCTAGTTGCAGCGAGTGGGGGCTACTCTTCGTTGCAGTGCACGGGCTGCTCTGCTCTTGTCACTGAGCAGGGGCTCCAGGGCCCACAGGCTTCTGCAGTTGCAGCTCTTGGGCTCAGCTGTTGCACTTCCCAGGCTCTAGAGTGCAGGCTCAGTAGCTGGTGTGCAGAGGCTTAGTTGCTCCGCAGCATGCAGGATATTCCCGGACCAGGGATCGAACCCGAGTCCCCTGTATTGGCAGGCAGACTCTCAACCACAGGAAGCCCCATCACTAATAAATTCTTATGAGGAATTTATGAAGGCTATTCTTCAGACAGAAGGAAATTGATCCCAGATGGAAGGTCTGTGATTGAATTTTAAAAATGATCACTACTGAACCAAACTTGGGTCCACTTGCCCCGTTGTGTGCAGTAAAGCCAATCTCCTGACACTGGTTGCGGTGAAGGAAAGTGCAGCATCAAGCAAGGATTTTAGGCAGCTAGTGCTTAAAAGACCCAAACTCCCAATGGCTTTAGGGAAAGGATTTTACAGACAGGGTGAGGGAGGGAGGGAGGGAGGTTGTGGGGTGTGTGATCAGCTGGTAGACATTCTTCTGAGAGGTTGATGGTGAGGTAATTGGGAGTCAACATTACCAACCTTCGGTTCCAAGTGGACTAGGGTCTACGTGCTTGTGGGCAGCACATAGTTAACTTCTTCCACCTGGTGGAGGTTTCATTCTCTGCAAAAAAGCTCAAAGGACACGGCTCAGGATGTCATCTATAGCCCTTGAGGAGGAACAAAAGGTCTATGACTTTGTTAAATGGCTAAACTTATTATTTTGTCTTGTTTGACTCTTTTCCTTTGCTTCTGCATTTTCTCACTTCTCTGATTAAATTTATCCCTTGGAACTTGAGGAATGCCTAGGAGTCTAAAGTTTTCCAAAAACAGGAGAAGGTGGAGGAAAAGGAGGAGGTGGTTCTTTCCCGGGAAAGCCCGGTAGAGTCCTGCTCAGTTATATGATCAGACAAAATATTCATTTGTGAGATAGTGGTTAAATCTAAACAAAAACTGATTGCATGAAACAGTGATATCTAATTGTTGTTGTTGTTGAGTTGATAAGTCCTGTCTGACACTTTAGAAAAAAAGAAAAGAAAGTGAAGTCGCTCAGTCCTCTCCGATTCTTTGCGACCCCATGGACTGTAGCCTACCAGACCCCTCCATCCATGGGATTTTCCAGACAAGAGTACTAGAGTGGGTTGCCATTTCCTCCTCCAGGGGATGTTCCCAACCCAGGGATCGAACCCTGGCACACAGTGAGCCTGCCGAGAAGAGGTGGGCCCCAGAGGGACCAAGGTTGTCGTCTTCCCTCTCTCCCAGGAAGTACATCGTGTCCTGTAAGCAGGCGGAGATGCCCCTGTCTGTCCCCTGGGATCCTAGCAACCAGGTAAGGCCCTCTGCTCTGTGCGGGCAGTCCTCAGGCCTGTCGGGGACCCCCAATCCCCCCTTCTTGCAGGAGGCCCAGAGGGGACAGGGTACTCTGCCTCAGGACTGGCTCAGTGAGCCAAGGGCTCTCCTGTGTCCCCCTGCTTGGCAGGAGAGAGCTGAGGCCCCAAGGGGAGGAGGGGTCTGGCCCAGCCCGGCCTCTCTCCCCAAAGCCCAGGGCTCCTCCCTTCACGTGCGGCTTCCTCCCCACGCGTCGGCGTGGGCTGGCACGGAGCCCCGAGGACGGGGGTGGTGAGGCTGCCGCGTGTCCGCGCAGGTGTGCCTGAGCTACAACAACGTCTCCTCCCTGAAGATGCTCGTGGCCAAGGACGACTGGGTGCTGTCCTCCGAGAGCAGCCAGGTAGCGGGCCCCACCCTCCCAGCTCTGCTTCCTCCTCTGAGCAGCCAGAGGTGTTGACTGTGAGCTGCGAGACCCTCTCGAACCACTCAAGTCAGAGGGGGATTCCCTAGGAGGCCCTGGGTGAGTCCTGAAACCAACCCACTTCTAGAAGCCCACCTGTCCCCTCGAGGCTGGCGTGGCTCGGATGGGGGCTGGGGGCAGGGGTGGGCTGAGGGTGGGCTGAGCTCTGCCGCTTCTGCCTGAGTCCTGGGATAGGTCACCTCCCCACAGTGACACCAGTGGCTGGCTGGACGCCTGGCTCTCAGGATCCATTCTGGTTCCGCATTAGTTACTGCTTCTTTATCTTTTTCTTTCTGAAAGAGAATTTTCAACATTTAAAAAATTGAGGTATAATTTATATACAGTAAAACTTCCCCTTTTTAGTGTATAATCCTACTAGTGTGGAAAACACATGAAGTTACCTCATCACTACAGTAATAAAAATACGAGCATTTCTATAATAACCCCCAATTTTTTTGTCTCCTTTGTGTTCAAGCCTCTTCCCCCCACAATCCCTGGAAACCACAAACCAGTTTACTATGCCTTTCCTTTGGTTTATTTGAGAATGTCCAGTAAAGGGAGTCATACAGTATGTAACCTTTGACGAATTTCCTTAGGCACAGTGCATTCACTTGTGTGAAGTGATGTGTATGTTCCGTTTCACATCGAGTACCATTCCATCTGACTAGTGTTTATCCATGCAGTCCCTGCTTCTTCAGACTATCCACTTTGCACTGAATCTCCCATTTTTCACGGGGCTACCACCGAGGCTCAGAGAGGTTGACTCACTTGTTCATAGACACACAGCAATCAGTGAGGTCCTGACTTCCAGCCCGGGTCCCCAGCATAGTCTGAGGAGGAGACGAGGGAACAAGGCTGCCCTCTGTCCCATGCAGGTCCTCCTGTACACTCTAGAGGAGGAAAAGTTCCTCTCCTTCCACATGGAGATGCTGGTGCACGTGGACACAGTCCAGGCCTTCCTGCTGCTCTCTGACCTACGCCGGAGGCCCGAGTGGGACAAGCACTGCCGGTGAGGGTGGGGGTCCCGGGCTGGTGAGGGTGGGAGTCCGGGGGGGTGGGGGTGGGGAAGGAGCCCCTGAGGTTTCTCCTTCTGCTGAGCCATCCCCCACTACACTGGGCCCCTGCTTTTAGCTAGAAGTGGGGCATGGGAAGGGAGGTACTGTGGTTGTGTGTTAGGTGAGTATCTGAGTCAAGGATATTCTGAGCCCTCAGGAAAGGGACTGAGCCTGGAATTGGAGTTGGGTACCTGGCCCAATTAACTATGTGATCATGGGCAGGTCACCTCCACTCTGGGTCTCAGTTTGGGGAGAGCCTCCCAGCTGAGAGGGGAGACACATGATGACAGTATAGTGTGTGGTGACAGAGGGAAGCCAGGGTTGTCAGCACCCAGAGGAGGGGTCAGGGGAGTCCAGCTGGTCACGCCTGCCAATAACGCAGTCCTGTGTGGCCCAGGTGCTGACTGGTATTTGCTGCCTTCCTAGCAGGCAACAAGGCTGCCATCCCCCTGCCTCATGTTCACTCGGTGCCCCCCCACCCCTCCCCGTCCTCCCTGGTTGTGGCTCTCCGTCCTGCAGTGTCCTACTGTAACCAGGCCACCCCGGGCGTTCTCAAGTACACGACCACCAATGTGATCGACCTCTCCTCTGAGTTCTACACCACCTTCAAGGCTTGGAACAGTTCCTCTTGGACAACTGGAACGACCTGACCTCCAGCCTCCAGACCCTCTAAGCATCCTCCCTGGCCACCTCACGTCCACTCCCACTCCATCCTGCCCCAAGGACACGCGTGCAGTGCACTGAGGAAGCAGAGGCATTTATTCCTTCCTGCCTCCCCCGAGGGAAGGTGGGGTCCACCGGGCCAGCACCCCTGGGTGCTCAGTGTCTGCCAATATCTGCCTGCAAGTCTTGGCGGTGGCTCTGGGGTAGCCTGTAGTAGACTCGGGTCTTCTCCACGGCCCTGGCTGCCAGCAGCACTGTCCGCACAGATGCATAGTGGCCCCGGCCAGGGCTGTGTTCCACCGTGACCGTGGCCCGGGGGGAGGCTGCCAGCAGCCGGGCCACGACTCCAGTGGGGCTCTGGCCCAGAGGTCCAGCCTGCAGCTGGAAGGACACGGGTTGCCAGAGGCCCTGACACAGCTCCAGCATATCTGTGAGCAGCTGTTCTCTGTAGCCACTGCCCAGCACTTCCTCGGGCCAGCCTGGGGCCACTGTCACGTGGGGGAACAGCTCGGCCACAGCTGTAAGCAACTCCCTGCCAGTCACATAGCCAGGGACCATGAAACTCCCGTGGGAGACTGTGGCCCCAACCCACACGGGCCTAGAGAGGCGGCCAAGGGTGGAGAGGGTGGCCAGCATGGCCAGGGACTGCCGCAGGGCAGCAGGCTCTGCTATGTGCACGTGGACCCCCCAGCGTCCGGGGTGCATGGACAGCTGCTGCAGGCAGGACTCCAGCGTCAGGGCACGGCCATCTGGGGTGTGGACGATGGGCACAGGGTCCCCAGCTGCAGGCTTCTGGAGGCCCACGTCCAGCAGGATCATGCCTTCTCGGTCTGGAAGAGGCAGTGGAGGCAACAGTGTCTGGGGTTAGGGTAATCATGGGGTGTCAGAGGCCCTTGCTGAAGTTAAAGAGACAGCAGGAGGTAATGGGGTCTGCTGATTGGATCTGGGTTCCAGGTGGAAGGGCTACTTTGTGAATGTGCCTGGGGCTCATCAGAATGGCCCAATAAGCCGCTGGCTCAGCTCTGGGCCTGTGCCCGCCTCTCTTGCAGCACCATGTGGCTGAAGCCTCACAAGTGCTGGTCCAAAGGCCAGGAGCCCCGCACTTTTGACAACACTGCTCCCCTATCTTGCAGCCGTGTTGCTGTGGTAACAGAAACCTGAGGTAGCTTCCCCGAGGTAACCCTTGCAGTTGAGCTAGGAGCACAGGGGCTGGACGCAGACCTTACCTGGGAGCCGCACTGTTGCTGTGCTTCCATTGCCCTGGATGTCAGGAACCAGCCACTCCACGCTCAGACCCTCGTCCCCAGGGTGCTGGAGAACAGGGATCAGGCTGCCCCCGGTGTAGTAGCTTTGCTTCCGTGAAGTATTCACTGTGGGTCAGATTGCCAAGATGAAGAGGCCACCAGTCATGAGGCCTTCTGTGCACCATGAGTCCTCTCTAAGCCTCACAGCGAACTTCCAGGGAGCTGGAATTCCCTGTTTTGTAGATGCCGGGTGACTTGCCCAAGGTCCTACAGCTGGTGGGCAGGGTTGCTGGGATTGAAGCCTGATGGAGCCAAGTCAGTTAGGCCCCAAAGCTGGTATTCCTCCCCCTCACCTAGATGGCTCCCAGAGCAGGAATGTTGGGTCTGATGGGTCCCCTTGAGATGGCCTGATTGCAGGCTCTCCTAGGTTTGGAGTCAAGGGAACAGGGGCTTTGGACAAAGGAACAAGCATCATGGATTAGCAGGTACAGTGGAGGAGCTGTTCTCTGAAATGCTAGAGCAACCCTCAGAGAACAATACTGCAAGGGGAAGCATCTGGGATTTGGAACTTGCTGTTTCCAGTAGGAGCTGTGCCACGTTCAAGCTGAACAACTTTGTATAAATTACATAACTGTTCTGAACGTCAGTTTATCTATCTGTATAATGGAATTCCTGCTTCTCAGATCTATGGAGCTTTTCATTCCATCCCAGGGTCTGGCATACAACGTATGCTTCAAATGATTCCTTCCTCTTGTCTCATATGGGATTTTCCCTTTCCAGTGCTCTGCCCCACCTAGCTCAGTGCTTTTGTGGGCAGAATCCACTCCACCAAACCACCTTTTCTTTCCCCTGGAGGAGGAAATGGCAACCCACTCCAGTATTCTTGCCTGGAAAATAGCATGGCCAGAGGAACCTGGTGGACTACAGTCCATGGGATTGCAAAGAATCAGACACAACTGAGCATGCATACACATACACCTTTTCCCACCCTCCCCAGACCCCTCCCTACTGGCAAGCTGCTTGAACTGTGACAGGATTGGCTCAAAGATGTCATAGTAGACTTGGTGGGTGGCGGTGTTGTCCCGGATGTAGAGTAGGTCGTCCACTGACACGGGGTCCGAGGCGGACTGCCACATTGTGAGGGTGTACCTGGGGTCCAGAGAGTCAGCTCAGGGCCTGCCTGGGCCCAGCAGCCCTCAGCCCCTCTCCCAGGCTCAGAAGTGAACCTGAGCTGGGGGGAGAGTGGTGGGCACAACCCCCTTCCTGAGGGCAGAAGAAGCCACAGAGGCCTTGGGTAACTGAGAGCAGAGGCTGAGAAGGAGGAGAGATGCACTGGCCTGCCTCTTCACTTGGAGTGTCTATTTGTGGCCCTCTCTGAGGAAGGAGACAAAGACAGAAGAGATGAGCATGGGGCTGGGAGTGGTGGGGGTGGATTAGAGGTCAGGTATGAAGAGGAAAGGGAGTGGCCTCCAGTGGGGAGAGTCTGAGAAATGTGGTGCTGGGCAGCTGGGGGCAGTGAAGAGCCAGGGGGAGGGTGGGCTTCCTCAATCCCACAGAGCTATTGGGGCAGAGTCTCTAGGTGCAGTTTGTGTACCCTCAGGGAATGGGTGGTTCCCAAGGGAGCAGGCTGTGGGAGGCAAATTGAGTCTCAATATAAACTCTTTCTAAAACTTCCCTGGTGTGGAGAAGGAAATGGCAACCCACTCCAGTACTCTTGCCTGGAGAATCTCATGGATGGAGGAGCCTGGCAGGCTGCAGTCCACGGGGTCGCAGAGAGTTGGACACGACTGAGCGGACTTCACCCCAGAGCCTGGCTTGGCCTGGAGCCCGGGCAGAGCAGCACCCCTGGGTGCCCCTACGGGACCCCACTGACTTGTGGGTGCACTGGGCGCCCCCGCAGGGCCGGCCCCGGCCGGCAGGGTGAGGTATGAGCTGCGGAGCCGCTCGAGACTGCGTTGTCCAGGAGGAGAACAGAGAGTTATGCAGTGTATAGTCAAGCGAGCACCATCAGCGTCCCGGTGGCAATGGAGACAGATGGGCCTTTATTTGAAGATGTGCAGATGCTGAGAAAGACAGTGAACGAAGAGGCTCGCCAGACAGGATCGGACGTCACTATGGGCACACCCTCAGGACCATCCAGACCACCATCTCCACACAGCAGCCAAGAGGCGCGCGGGGCCCGTGGCCGTCTGTGGCCCGAAACACACCAGGGGGCTCCCCGGCTCAGTACACAGAAGAGAACCTAGGAAGCCCCCATTCATAGCTCTCTGTTACTGACAAGGTGTTGAAATGATGCTATTTTGGACATACTGGCTTAAATAATAAATGTTATGCAAATAAAAAAAAAAATAAAATAAAACTTCCCTGGTGGTCCAGTGGATAAGACTGTGCTTCCATTGCAGGGGACGCCTGTTTATCCCTGGTTGGAGAACTAAGATCCCGCATGCTGTACAGTGCGGTCAAAATAAATAAACAGAAAATAATAATAATAAAAAAGCAACACTTTCTAATGGAAGGCTGCATCAGGTGATAGTGACCTGCCTGTCCCAGAGGTGCACAAGCAGAAAGCAGGGATATTGTAGAGGATGTGAGCACCAGAAGAGGTTGGGCCAGATGATCATGAAGACCCTTCTAACCATCAGCATCTGGGATCTTTCTGGGGCATCAGGACTGAGAGTGGGTTTGGAGGGAGAGGGGGCCAGGGTAGGGGCCTGGGAGTTCTCACCTGTCAGATTGGGCCAGCAGCCAGCTGAAGTGGGGCCAGGCAGCCCTCGCCATGACAGCCAGCACAGGGAAGGTCACTTTCTGTGGCAGTGCTCCCACCAGCTCCTGCATCTTCTCCACCATGGCCCGTGTGTACGTCACATTTGGGAAAAGGGGCAGGTAGAAGGTGGTCCAGCCTGGAGACAAGGTTGCCTCAGGATACTTCTCCTGGACCAAGGCCAGGAACCTGCAGAGAATCAGAGATGCTGGTCTTTTAGAGGCCCTTCCTCATCTCCTGGGTTCTCATCAGAGTTCTAGGAAGAGGCAGGGTCTATCGCATCTAGATAT